GTACTAATGATACAGTGTGTTCTGTTACACTGCATGTTTCCTAGAATCATTGTTGTATCAGGAAATGATGCTACTATACCTTTTTCTTTCTTTCTTTTAATTGGATGCTACTATATCTTAAATCAAGTTAGTTCAATGTAATTTTCTTCCTAAAGAGAGCCAGAATAGTGGGAATAGAGGTATAAAACCTTCAGCAGGAAAGGAAAGGAAAGGTTGGCTCTGCTTGCTGTAAGAGCCTTTTGGTTTTATTTAAGACAGTTAAAAGACACACCAGCATATAGAGATACCTCCATAGGGCGGTATGGCCCTCAGCGCATGGCAGGTCACAGTGTCCTTTGTGTTTTTTTGTAGAACAGGTCCCACTGTCTCAGAGCGCCCCTTCCGCCTGCATTGTGTCAGCACATGCTTACTCTGATCTAATTAGATGTTGCATGCATTTCTTTTCTATTTTTATTCCTTTCTTTCCCCCAAAGCTTTCATTTAATCATATAACAGACATGGATACAATGGTATCAAGGAAAAGAGTGTATCAAAACCTTTTCGCTTTTATTAAAGGTTTTGACAATGAGAGCTTTATAAAATGTCATTACATTCTATTTGTTATACAGTAAACCTTCACTTCTAAGTAGGAGACACATGCCATTTAGAGCAACCATTTTAATGTGTAAAATAATTCTGAATTCTTTCTATAAAAATATGTGGCTAAAATATGAAACACCTTTGCAACAAAATTGGCAATGTAACTTAAGTAAGATTTCAGAAGTGTCCCCTGGAAAAAAATGGGAATGTTTCCTTTTTCCTAGATAAACTCTAAACAGTTCAAGTTAAGGTACCATAAATTAGACCAAGCTAGAAAGGAACTTCATGTTACTAGAAAAGAACATCATGTAATGTGGACTTCTTCCATGTCAAACTGACAACCACTTAATGACAATGACTTACCAATCATAAGAAAAATAGAATATGTTCTTCAGAAGGAAATGATATTACAGTATAATTCTTGTAAACAAGTCTCTTATCAAAGTATTGAATAGCTTCAGAGAACATTATCACAGAACAGGCAGAGGTCATATATATGACGTTAAAGGATTCCTTTATTTTAGATACCCTCCGTAAACAGAAACACACATCAAGTATAAACACTTGTAAAACTGATTCTCTTAATGAAACATTTCTTTACTACCACACTCAGCTCCTGGCTGCCTTTGGATGCAGAGGTTTAACTCCTGCTAATCTGTACAAGCCAAGGTGGGGACTGATCTGGAGCCTTAGCAGGCACTCCTGCACCTGGGCTCCTGCTGTTGTTGCTACTTCTGCACACCACTGGTGGGACCCACCTGGGTTTCTGCTTCCTGCTAACAGACTATTTGTGATGGTTTCCTACGGGCCTTCAACGTACTACCCTTGGACTTAGCTTTCTTTTTTTTTTTTTCAACTGGGGATTTTATCTTCACTTCTTCTTAATTTCTTTAACTTTACTCTTTCTCATTGGGAAATCTACATCATGTCTTCACTCTCACTAAAATCAGAATCGCCCTCAGACTCTTCACCGGTTGCAGAGTCTAGTTCAGAGTCATTCGCCCTGCCCCCGCCACTGTGGGTCTTCCTCTATCGTACCCTGGCATGCACTGCTGCTTTTCTTTTCCGGGAACACCGTGAAAATCCCCTTCCTCTGGAATCTCACCCAGATCTAAATAATCACTGGTTACACAGCAGTTGGAGACGTGGGGAGACGTCTTCATTGTTCTGTTCACTGTTGCCCATTTTCCTTTGCTTTTATCTTGAGCTTCCTCCACATGCACGGTGACTGTTGGAGTTGCTTCACTGATAGATCCAGTATGACTCCACGTCTCTCTGGCAGAGCTTTTCATCCAAAGCCATCCTTCTCTAGGGGTTTTCTCTGGTAATGGAATGTCTTCTTTCTGGAGACTCTTCGGTGTTAGGTTTTGGTGTTTCTAGTTCTTAACTCCTCTGGTGTTGTTCTGGGCTTCTTATTTCAAGGTGCAGTTGCAGAAACAAAATCGTCACTGCTGTCAGAGTCCTCAAACTACGAGTAATTGACTGGTTTGTTATGGCTCGCGGGCCACAGTGTGGCCCCCTTCAAGACTGGTAACGTGCAGCTTTCAAGGTCTTGTTGGTAGCAGTGCGGTTTCAGTTCCCACCCACAACCAGACACCGGAGCTCTGCGCCCCCTGCCACCAGTCCTCCAGTGATTACCAGCCATCCTGGTTCTATTCATTGTTAATATTTTCTATACTAGCCTCCTGCTACATTGACCTACCTGCTCTAATAAGCCAAGTTAACCCGTGATGCCAGTTGCGGTTTGTGGTGTTTTTACTAAATGCTCCATTTAAAAGGATGCATCAGTTTTGTTGTTTGTGATTTTTGTTTGCTTTTTAATTTTCACTCAGGACTTTCTCATTCTCATACTCTCTGATTGTGCTTCTGGACACCACTTTGTGGAACAAATTCACTTTGGCCTAGAAAAAGAACGCCATAAGAATGAATTTAGCAAAGGGGTGCCTGGGTGGCTCAGTCAATTAAGTTTCCAACTCTTGGTTTCGGCTCAGATCATGATCTCAGGGTCCTGGGATCAAACCCCGCATCAGGCTCCACGCTCAGCACAGAAGTCTGCTAAAGTTTCTCTCTCCCTCTCTCTCTGCCCCTTCCCTGCTCTCTCTGCCTCTCCCCTGCTCTCTCTCTCTCTCTCAAATAAATAAATAATCTTTAAGAAAACAAAGAATGAATTTAGCATGATGTAGTGGAAAGAGCAGATGTCTTTGGTATCAGATCTGAGTTTGTTTGGATTTTGACTCTTCAACTTAACAGCTGTGTGATGTTGCCTTATTAGTCAAGTGTCAAGTTTCCCATCTGTCAAATAGGGATAACAGAGTGGTTGTGAGGATTCAATGAAATATGGTAGATAGAGGTCTTTCCACAGTGGCTGGCACAGATTAGACACTCAAAAAATGATTCTTCCTTTCTCTTTCATTTCCAAGTGTTTACAGACTGGAGGAACGATGGCTTTGAGCTGTCTGTGGCTCCAGGCCTGCTCTGATTTACTCATTCCCTAACAGTCTTTTAAAAAATAGTTCTTTTGAGGTATATTTCACCTACCGTGAAATTCACCTATTTTTAAGATGTGCAAGTCAATGGCTTTTAGTATATTCACTGAAGCATGCAGCCATCATCACCGAATTTTTAGAACATTTTCAAAGAGAAAGCCCATACCCATTAGCAGCCATTCCCTAGATGCCCAGGTTTTGAATCATCTGTCCCAATCCTCGTTTTCCCTCAAGCCCGGTAAGTTTTAGTGTGCAGTTTTTATAGAAGGCATACACTCTGTGAACAGAAATGCTTGTACTGTAGTCTGGGCTTCTGCGCTCATCCCCGAAAGTGTTCTCTCTAAGGTTACCGTGACCTTTTAACCGCCAAATCAGAGAAACGCTCTTTGCTCCTTACCTTATTGGCCTCTTCTGTGGTATTTACACTACTGGCCACTTTTTCTTTGTAGACACTTTGTAGACACTCTTTTTGTAGCCTCCTTTTTTTAGTTTGAGGTCTTTCTGTCATGGTCTCCTCCTGGCTAGTTGTTCTGTCTCTGAGCAGCTAGCCCATCTGTTTAAAGGTGGGTGTTGCACAGCTCTCTGTAACCTTCCTCGAGTGCTGGATGAGCACGTTCTTCCATATTTCTACGTGATATCAATTAAATACCTTTATTTAGTCCCTCTTAGCAGTTTGCTGTCCCATTGGGATGGAAGTACACCTGTTTCTTTACCTTTCTCTAACAACTTCAGGTTTCCCTTTTTAAATTTATTCTTGCATAAGATGTTAGCTAGGCTCTTTCCCAGCTGTGCACATTCTGCTTGTGTTTCCTTCCCGCTTCCTGTTCCTAGTCCATCTCCCTATCAAAGACTAGCTGTTACCCATGTGGATACCAGTGTGTGATATGCATTTGGGGAATTGAATCTTTACCTATATTTTTAGTCTCAAATATTTTTTTATGATCCAGTTTTTGTCACCACTTTTTTATTGAATGAAATATTTTAAAAATGCATTTCTCATTAAATCTGCTTACTTGACAAAAATCATTTTTCTCAGAGATACAATTTTCCAAGATACTCGTCAGGTCCTTGCAGGAACATTTCCTGGAGTACTGCACAACAATGTAGAAGGAAACATCAGTTGTCCCCTTTCTTAACAAGGCGATGAGAAAACAAGGAATGAGAAAAAACTGAATAAAGAAATTCTATAATGATCTTTCTGAAGAACTTGAAACCCACAGCTTATCTTAGTTTGTGAGGGGAAATATATTACTTTTACAGTTAAGGGATAGCTTTCAGTTTTCACTGAATTTAATCCTGTACTTAATTTTTAATGAAATTTTAGATTTTTAAAGATATTGTCATTGAATGAAGTCTGCAGCACTAGATGCAAGACCACCACCCACTGTACGCAACCTCTTGGGCCTTGGCCATGCTTTCCTGCAAGTGGCAGAGCTTAGTGAGTATTGCTACTCACTAATAAATGAACGTGTATCCTTGGCCGTGAGAGCGGAAAGACACAGTGTCACTCAAGGTCAAGTCGGGATGCAAGAGCCCGTTGTGGAAGAAGTCTGCTGTTTCCACTCCTGTGGTTAAGCCGTTTCACCTGTGAAAAGAGGGTTATGTAATCAGAATGTCAGAATAATATTTGCAGTGTAGCAAATATTGGTACTGGTATATTTCTAGTACTAGTATATATCTGAATACAGTTTTTTATTGAAGTATTCTTTAAAATACGCACGAAGCCACTGTGCCTTATGCCTTGTTTTAAATTAGCTCTGCAGTGTGGTAGGAACTTCGTTTGAGCAGAGGTTAAAATCAGAATTACGTACTACTTGTGGATTACCTCTTGGTGAGTTTTGCTTCGAAGCCATGGCTATTCTGTTGTTGTAGCACAAGCTATTAGTCATTTTTCCTTTCAAATCATCTGGGAACCACCTGATGGTCTCTTTCTAGATGTCCTGGAGCTTCTCATCGGAGACTTGCCCTAGAGAGGAGGAAAACTGGTAAAACTCAGACAGAGATTGAGAATGAAAACGGAACCACTATAATAGATCTACCAGGTACTTTATCACCTGAAACGGACTGTTCAGGGACAGGCACGGAGCCTGCTGAGCGCAATGTGACGTCGGCGTCTCTTCCTGCGTGGACTGAGGAGCCTGGCCTGGACAATCCCGCCTTCGAGGAGAACGCAGCCACTGACAGTATGTGCTCTTCACCTTGCTTTGGCTTTCATCTCTGTTTGCAAATCAGACATTTCCTTTCTTCCCACTACTCCCTATTACTTTCCCGACATGCGTTTTTTTTTCCTCTGCAGAAAATAATTTTATTGAGATAGGCTTCACATACTGCATATTCACCCTTTAAGTGTACAGTTCTAACAGTTTCCAGTTTAGAAACAGAAGGTGAATCTTACCCCGAGGCTGGTTATCCTCCCCCCTGCCCCTCTTCCGTTGTAGTCCATGAATTCACTGGCCATTAATAGGCTGCTGCTTGTTTGTTTTGAAGCCTGTTGCTTCTTGACTAAGAAATCCACAACATCGAGAACAACAAAAGTAATACCTCAGCCTAGGTGCTTATTCTGTCAGGCACTGTGCCAAGCACTTGACATATATTAACTGATTAAATGCTTGTACCAGTAGTGGATTCTTTTAACGGTGAGGAGACTGAGTCTTGAGAAATCAATGGTCATAGTCCGAGAGCCAGGAAATGGCTGCGTGGGTGTCTGACTCCACGGCCATGCTTCTGACTATTGCTGTCCTTGGTAGCAGCCACTGATCTGTCTGCACGACCCACCAGCAAATAGGCAGAGAGTCTGTAGTCATAGATCTTGGGCATATCTTGATAGTTGGCCCTACGTCTTACTTTTAAATATGATTTTCTCTTATGAACATTCGAAATTTTGCTACAAATCCAAGTTTTCCCGACCATGGCTATAACACTTTTTCCATCTCCTAATGCTCAGATCTAGACCCTCCTCTTCTTAGAGCTTAATGTGGTTACTTTGTCAACCACTATGGTGATTGTATACCACAGAGTTCGTCTTTTTTTTTTTTTTTTTAATGTACTGCCTTGCATTATTTACAGTTGTTTCATGGGTCAAACTTTCTCTGATCAATTAGAACAAGATGACATTGTATTTTTCTTTATCAGGTCACTGTGTCATCCCTAGTGATCTGATACATAGTGGTTATTTGTTGATTATTTACTGATCACCTTTAGAAGAGGAAATGTTTTGGTAATCTTAACCTATAGATGTTTTTTGTCATTCTGTTTTTCTTATCCAGTGGTATTGCTTTGTTATTAATTATCTATTAACATAAGTTGATAACTAATGATAGATGATAACTTACTTACCTGAAGATCATCAAAATATAAAACGTTTTTCTTTCCATCTATTTTTCTCTCTCTCATTTTTAACTTGGCAGCTACGCAACAGCCAGTTAGTTTACCGGAAGGCGAAATTACCACGATTGAAATTCACCGGTCTAATCCTTATATTCAGTTAGGAATTAGCATTGTGGGCGGCAATGAAACGCCACTGATTAACATTGTTATCCAGGAAGTCTATCGGGATGGGGTAATCGCCAGAGACGGAAGACTCCTTGCTGGAGACCAGATTCTTCAGGTATCAATTTTAAATTATTTTGTTAACTTGCATCTTTTTTGCTCTTATTCATAAATTTAAAACTTAGGAAATTGTGGTACTGCAGAACCTGAATTATATAAAGGTAAGTTTTACTGTTTTTTATATGCAAAACAGATCAGAATTTATCTGTAATTTCTCCTCTACTTCCCCAAGCACATGGAATGTATTTTTTTTTCTCCCTATCTTAAATTTGATCCCACGTGTAGCTTCAGTGCTTGGCTCTTTGGGCCAGCTGGATTCTTCCTGGCTTGGTTGGCTATTTCAGGGCCACCTTCACTGCTAAATTCTCTTGTCCCCTTGGCTGTATCCCTAGTCCAGTGTACCATCCGTTAGCTTCATTGTCTAACTTACCCTTCTCTCCACTGATGACTGTAATCTAGAAAAGACAGATCATGCAGCACAAGTGACTTAAAACTTACACCATTGAACTTAAGGTAGAATTGAGAAATCATGGCCACCTCTTGTTGGCTGTGACTCTCAAAGAGACCTGACTCTGCACTAACCCTTGATGCTACCCTCTCCCTCTTCTCTTTAAGGAGAAAAAGCTACTCCAACAAAAGATCTAGCTTAGGACACGATGCTGTTATATTAGAGGGCATGTTGACACTGAGGGGGTGGGGATGGCCAGAATTTTCCTATATAGGACGAGAGTTTATGTGAAAATTGGCCTGCATATACGACCCAGATAAGTGTGATACTTGAAGTTAAAAAAAAAAATGGATATTTAGGAGAGAAGAAATAGTCATGAATGAGAAAAGGTGTCTTCTAGGAACCCAAGCTCGAGGACTTCTTGCCTCTTTCACCGTTCAGTCCTTCCCCACGGTCTGTTGGTATTCACCCCTTCCGTTTTCCCAGCCACCTCTGGTCTGCGCCCTCACTGCTTCACGTCTAACCCAGCAGAATCAACACCCCTGCCTCCCCGCTCTCTGCTCTGAAATCCGGCGCGACCCTTGCCAGATTAATACATCTGTGACTCTGCTTTCCTTGGGAAGATTTGACCAGAGGATCAAGTCTAGACTGATTAATCTAATCGGGTCATCTGTGGTCTGTCACCTCAACCTCAACCCTTGCTTTTTCTTTCAGCCATAGCCATTTGTGTACTGCTGAAACGTTATAGGCATGGTGCTCGGAGCTGAGGATATAATTAAGCGCAGAAAGCAGCCCCTGCACTCATGGAATTTATAATCTAGCAGAGAAAGCGGACCTAGCGATCTCCTTGCTTCTCTCCAGACAGCTTATTCCCACGTTCCAGCCTGTCCCCACTGTGCTGCAGCTTCGCCACCTTCATCCTGAAAGCCCCACCCTGCCATTTTCACCGGTTCAGACCTCTCCTCACTTTAGGTGCCCACAACATTCCTTGCTTTTCCCTTCACCACCTCACACATCATCAGTCACAGAGAAGTAGTCAAATGCACTGTCTTTCTATGGCGATTGCCGCCACCTTAATGGTACATATTATGGTACAGACCTCCCACTGTGCTGTGCCTGCAGTAGGTGCCCAGGAAGTACTTGCTGAATCAATAAAAGAGTGGATTTGGATATAATATCCTGTCGGGAATAGCTGTCTCCTTCATCAAAACAAAACTTAGAACCTCTAGGATTTTTAGCTCTTCAAAAGAAATGTCCAGATGGGGAAAAAAGACAGACTAAGTTCCCAGAGCAGCAAGGATTGACCTTTCCTTTCGGGGCTCCTGGCTTTGCATTCCCATCTGTGTTCTGCCTCTTGCAGTATTTTATTTCCGCTTCAACACTCCCCTCCTTCATTGCACTTAGTCTGGCTGACACAGACCGAACTTCCAGTGTTTTGTTCTTTACTAAATCCTAAGAGGAAATAGGAGAATACAGGAAGCCTAACTAATCCAGCTTATATAAAATCCATTTTCTGATCCAAGCATAGCTAGCTATTTACGGCATTACTGTATTTGATGTCATTTTATTATATTAGTACTCTGAGGTTGGCACAGCTCTCTGGACACCTTACCCTGTATTTTGACACCCTGGTGGCCAAGACCAAAAGAACCAGATTGCCCTTTCTGCAGCTTACATAGTGTTCTTTTTTCCTCCACTTCTGGCCTTTCTGGCTATAATTTGAGTATACATTTATTTTTTTGTGTTTTGTTCTTTGCTACCAGCAGTGTGCCGGCATTGGATATTAACATTTTTACACATTTCTCATTCTTTTTCTGAATTTTAAAGGTAAAAATAAATGCTTTGTTCTTATTTGCATCTCTTTGAGTATAATTGAGGTCAGTTTTTGGGTTTTGTTTGCTAATATATTTCGTCTGTAGGCTTTTTTACCAGTCTGCTCTGGAGAATTGTTTAATAACATAACTGAATCCATATACCTCAAATAAAAATCTAATTATCTGAAATTGTTGGCTGTAATTTGGGGAATTAGCTCAAAGCTATAAATCTGCATTGTAGTAATTCCAGTGCATTATTATTGTTTATGGAGGCATACATATTAATAACTCTAACAATGGCAATCTAAAATCAAGTTTAATGATTTCAAATTGATAAGAAAACTATGAGCACATAACCTGATTAGTGAATTCACAAAGGGTCTCTCCTGTTGTGGGCCTGACTTCTCATTGGCCTTTGGCTGGTATGCTGGAGCCAATAAGTAAAGCCACACCACTTGTCCAAATATGAAGTATTTATGGTCATTCAAAAGGAAACACTTGGAAAGAAGGCTACTTGGTGTTTTTTTACTGCCGGCTTATCTTCCACTTCGTATAAGCTGCATAAATAATACTGTGAGCCAATTTGAAAATACCTTAGAGTCATTAAAATGGTTTAATTACAGACCAAAGAGCTAGCTAGCCTGTGCTTTTAGTTTAGCAAACTAAATGCAGTAACAGTGTGTAGCTTTGGTTTTCCCACCTGATACACACACACACACACACACACACGTTATTCTATTAAATAACTTCTTTGAAAAGGAGAACCATATACCCTCAGGGCCTTTTGCTGTGCAGCATTTTGAGCAGTTTGAAGAGAAATACTCTAAGAGATTACATCAATATCACTATTAAAAATAATATAAATTTTAGAACATTATTAAGAGTAGGTATTTTCAAACAAACTGAGGGTTCTAGAGGGGAGGGGGTTGGGAGGATGGGTTAACCTGGTGATGGGTATTGAGGAGGGCATGTACTGAATGGAGCACTGGGTGTTATGCACAAACAATGAATCATGGGACACTACATCAAAAACTAATGATGTAATGTATGGTAATTAACATACATAATACTTAAAAAAAAAAGAGTAGGTATTTTCAGTGTGATCTGAGTTGTCAGTGATTTATTCCCTTTTGGTTTTGAAGGAAAAGAATTGCAGTCATGTCTTGACTGCATTGGTACAAAATATATTTAGCTAAAGATTTGGTAGAGTTTACTATGTTGGTGCTATTTTTACAAAATCTAGCAACAGTATTTTATTTGGTCTCTGCTTTCTCTGAGTTTCACTGGCAACCACACATTTGTGAAGGGAAAATCTTCTAATTGTAGGATATTCCACAACCCACATCACAGAGATGATATGAAGCTACATACTTGCACATGGCTATTGCTGGATTTCGGCCAGATGTTTGTAAAGTCATTTGATAGATGAGAATTTAAGATAGAAATATAAAACCCTAGAGATAAGTGGCTTTTTAGCTGAATAACCAGAAATGATGAGTTTTGACTAACAGATCCATGTCAGGCTGGTTTTTTAGGAGCCACCTTGAAGTTCTGTTCTTGACCCTGTGTTATTCAACTTTTTAATCAAGGATTTGGATGGCGACCAAATGCACAGATGTTGCAAACTTGGGAGAATAGCAAGTCTGTGTGTGATAGCTATGATAGTTGATGCCTGAATTTTAAAAGATGTCAACAGGCCCAACTCAACAAAATTCAAGTTAGTAGTGCTCAAAACTGTCAACCCTAGATGAATAGGAAGGGGGAAGGCCTTCCTTAACATAGATTCATGTGAAAAAGATTGAAGGATTTGGGTGACCACAAACACCTAACCCAGAGCCTGCCACATAACCAATGCTCAGAGAATGTTGATTTCCCCCTCACTGTTGTTTCAGACAGATGAAGAGAGGAATTCTAATTGTGATAAATACTAAGAATTGTGCCAACCCCTTCCTCTGACTAGATGAATAATGGAAGCTGGGTGTATTTTCTTAGTGATGTTACATGTCCAAGGTCAGTCACTGTACTCATTTCAGGGCCATAAGGTTTAGTAAATAAATGTTCTGTGAGTACTGAGTTACGTTTATTGTATTAGATATTACACTTGAGTGCTGAACACTTAAGAGTGAAACTGTAATTACCTGCTTTTCTTTGAAGTAAAAAATCACTGATCTGAGATCAGGTTGTGTATCTGGAATGTCCTTAAAATAAAACTCAGTGTATTTTTTCCAGCTTAAGTGTTTTTCATTTGGAAAAGCCACTTCAATCCAATAGAACTTCAGTTTCTGTTCTACTAGAACTAGTATTTTATTAGCCCTTGCCATATGCTGTTGCTGTCTCTGCATTCTCCTCCTGGTCCCGTGAAGTGGAGAGTAAACCCATCTTACCTCTGAGGGGACACTCAGACATCCGTCCCACTAGCACGTGGCAGAACCAAGGACTCTGATTCAACACTATCACTGAAGCCTGAGATGCTAACTGCCGTTCTCTACTTCATGCTAGTCATTGTGAGTGAAGCTTAGGAACTGTGTATTGTAAAACATCTTTGGAGTGCTTTTCTTTGTAAATAATGACTGTGTGTCCTTTTCCAAAGTTAGTTTCTTTTGGAAATAGTATATAAACATTTCTACAAGTTGAGAAAATAAAAGATCGTCACACTTCGGTCATAATTCTTGTCTTCCAGGTCAACAACTGTAACATCAGCAATGTATCTCACAACTATGCCAGAGCCGCCCTCTCCCAGCCCTGCACCACGCTGCACCTTACCGTGCTGCGAGAGAGGCGCTTTGGGAACCGGACGTACAGCCACCCCGATGGGAGCTCTCCACGGGAAGAGGTCTTCCACGTGGTCCTTCACAAACGGGACTCTGGTGAACAGCTTGGCATTAAACTCGTACGAAGGACCGATGAGGCAGGCGTTTTTATTCTTGACCTGTTGGAGGGGGGGCTGGCTGCACAGGACGGAAGGCTGAGCAGCAATGACCGAGTGCTCGCCATCAATGGACATGACCTGAAGCATGGGACCCCTGAGCTTGCCGCCCAGATCATTCAGGTACACGCCAGATGTTCTTTCCAAATGCTCAGCCTTTATTACCGTATATCGATGTCTGTTTTCATAACATGAGAGTCCCCGGGATATTTGATATTTCATGGGGAAGCCAAACATGGCTCCGAAATCCTTCAAAATGCACAATAGTATAACTTCATTGCAGGTAGAATCCTTTCTGGAAAACTGTATCCCTATGGACGTTCAGCCTTGCTCTTTACATACAGTGAAGGCTCTACATTTTCACATGGGTTTTTCATTTGCTCCCTGGGCTCCGCCTAGGCCCGGACATAAAAACGGGGCTGTCCACATTTAACAGGTGAGATAAGCGAAGCTTGAAGGAGCTGTGGCTCCAAAGTTCTTACTTGTAAGTACTTACAAGTACTTACTTACTTGTAAATCTTACAAAGATTTCCCTCTCTGCTTCAGCTCCATCCAAGTGGGGGAAAATAATTTTTTATTAAGAATAACTCTTTATAGTGCCTTTTTTTTTTTTTTTAAGATTTTTATTTATTTATTTTGAGACAGAGAGAATGAGAGACAGAGAGCATGAGAGGGAGGAGGGTCAGAGGGAGAAGCAGACTCCCTGCAGAGCAGGGGGAGCCCGATGCAGGACTCGATCCCGGGACTCCAGGATCATGACCTGAGCCGAAGGCAGTCGCTCAACCAACTGAGCCACCCAGGTGCCCCACCTTTTTTATAAAGCATTCAGAGCATTTCAAACACATCGTAACTTGTGTTCTCAACAGTATATATACTGTTATTATTGGAAAAAAAATTTTTTTTCAATAAGAGCATTAATATAGATAAAGTAGAAAATCATCCAGAGCAGATCTTCTGGTTCTGTAACCTGCCACAGCATTTAACGATATGGGTATCTCCTACGGTGATAAAGTTGAAACAAAGATGTGTGTGGTTTTTTGTTTTGTTTTTTTAAGTAAACACAAGAAAACACTCTTACATAAAGGAAATCAAGCATTAACATAATCGAGCATCAGGAATTAAAGTAGGTTGATAGTCACTGAGAAATGTGTATAGTAGACAGAATTGAATAACAAGATTTAAGCTACTGTGTAAGAAAACCCAATCTCAATCCCATTTAACTTACTCCTTTTCACAAATTTTTGGTTCATTATAACCATAAGAACACATACACACACACTTGCGCGCGTGCACGCACACACACACCCCCACACACACCCAGTAGCCATATTGCATTAGGAGGGAGATTCAGGCATTGGTCTCATGTCACAGACTTGAGGTTTAAAAAAATAGGATACAGATTCCTTATAATATATATAATATCAAATATATTGCTCAAGTTTCTTTGTGAAAAAAACTAAATCTTACTGTTTTAGATTCTAAAAGTAACATGTACTGGATGTCTAATGAAGACAAAATACAGAAAATAAAGTTAAAATCACATTCAATCTAAACTTCATAAGAAAGTGACGTTAATGTTTTGGAGAACATCGTTACATTTTTCTGTACAGGCCTGCAAATAAATAGGTACATATTTACATAGATACTGACACGTGCATCTTGCACATTCTCAGTTTGCCAACCTTTCTTTACATCAGGAGTGTTGTGGACTTCTTACCCTGAAAATAGACTCATCGTGATAGAGCTGTATAGTAGGCATGTTGTACTAAAACTTATTTCATCATTCCCCTGTTGACCGACTTCAATGTTTTGTTTTCAAGTTTAAGACATTTTGCTAAACTTCCCTCTAGAAAGATCATACCAATATATACTCCCAGCAATAGGGCATGCCACTTTTTTATGAAATACAGGTATTGTCATTTAGGCATCCTGCATTTTTCAAAATCTTGACTTTAACAGAATTCTTTTGTTGTATTTGAAACCCTGAAGTGTTAGATGTGCTGTCTATTTAAAACTAGCCTAAACCGAAATGTAGAACCATCGTTTAAAGCTTATATGTCCACTTCCATCACATGCCCAGAGTTTTGTCTTTCAGGAAATCAAGAAAGATCAGGGATTTGTTTGTTAATGTTAATGGGTTTGCATAAGCAGCGGCCTTCCAACAAAGCTGAATTACTGATTATAGAGTATTTGGTGGTGGTGAGTGTTAACGCAATAAAGCAAACAATTCTGTACATTGAAATGAGATCACAAAGGGGCTCCTCACCCTTCACACTGTGTGATCTAATAATTGGAAGTGTCAGGATCTCAAATATCAGGATTCTAAATGTTCTACTTTGGCATTTACCCGTTAGATCAAGTCCCCCGACTCTGGCCACATGTGAAGTGTTACTCTTTCAGTTATTTTGAAGAATTATCTGAAACTGGTTTAATGAAATGCTTGAATAAGTAAATGATTTTTAATAGGGCCTTAAGATTGGTTATCACTTGGGCCCCTGGGTGGCTCAGTCGGTTAAGCGGCTGCCTTCGGCTCAGGTCACTCCTGGGATCGAGCCCCACATTGGGCTCCTTGCTCAGCGGGGAGCTGCCTTCTCCCTCTCCCTCTGTCCCTCCACCCTGCTCTTTCTCTCTCTCTCTCTCAAATAAATAAATAAAATCTTTTTTAAAAATTGGTTTTCACTCATTTTCCAACTTGAGAACTGAAAAGGGAGTGCTTTCTTAACAGTATTGACTATAATCATGGGGGAGGGTTCTACTTTCCACCACAGCTTCTTGAAAGCAGGCTGTCAGATTTTACGGTAGGAATAATAGTAGACTTGAGAACTTGTAGTCATGACCAAGAATCAGCATCAAATAGATCAGGGCTGTACATTAAAAGCAAAGATAAAATAGCTTTAAAAAATACAATAGATGTGAGTCTGTGTTTCAGATATAGATCTATAAATACAGATAATGGACCTCTAAATTCAAGGTGGTAGTCATAACCTCTAAAATAATTTAACATAACATTTATGTGTGTGTGCACGCGTGTGATATATATACGCACACAGTATGCAGTGTATATAAATACTAATCTCCTTTTACAGGACCTTTGTTATCATTCTTTTCAGGACTGTTTAAGCTGATATCCTATTTTTAATTTAAACCTGTAGCAAGCAGAAACAAAGCTGTACATAGTTTCATTGATTATCACTCTCAAAGCAGCCACTCTGGAATTTATTTCAGAAGTCACAAAGGGTTCTAATCCAGTTTTGAATCAGTTCTTCCTTTTATCTTCTTTCCTTTGCTCTCTTTCTCTCAGTGCCAAGGTCAGTCTTGCAGGGGAAAGAAGTACGGAAAGACAGTTACCCTTCAGTTACCCTTTGACTGCTTTGCTTTGTTTATGTCCTTGGTATTTCCAGGGTTAGGCAAGGCCTACCCAAGAGGCCTGTGTGGGGGTGTTTTAACTGCAGAAGTTTTAAAGCTCCTGAAATGAACTCCCTCCCCGCCCACACCCAGCAGGTGCCTGCAGTCACCACTCAGGTGAGGCTCTGGTACAGTGATGAAAGTGCACTGAAAATTACACTCCCTATAATTTTCTAAGTGAGAAGCATTATTAATGACTGGTGGTTATGTATGTGTGTTTTCTCTAGGCTAGTGGAGAGAGGGTGGATTTAACAATTGCTAGACCAGGGAAATCCCAGCCTGGTAACCCTGTCCGAGACGCAGGAGCTCAGAGTAGCAGCCAGCATCATGCACAGCCGCTGTATAACAACAGACCCAGCTCACATAAGGTGAGGCGTTGTGTTTGCATGTTTTCATTCATCTACCCTCAAGGGTCCTTGTTACAAGCTGGTAAGATTTAAATGAGGGCTGTTACTCTGTTGGAAAAGGTGCACTCAAGTGTTTGGGAGGTGAAATGTGGATTGGGCTGCCTGGGGAGTCACTGTACGGTCTCAGTTCCTCAGCCAGTAGGGGTGGTTTCTTAATAAGAAGTTCCCTCTGCCAGGTGATGGATGAGAAGTATTTGGTCTTCTAGAAGAACTTCTTTGTTTGGTCCTCCTTTAAAGTGGGATTTATCTTGGTTTGCTCATTCAAATGCAACAATTGGTTATGTGATTGAAAAAGCATAACGAAGACAATGATCGACAAGTCCATACTTAGCAGTTGGGCAGGTTGCCCACAACAACAGAATTCTCTATGTGAATATTAAGCATAAATCATACATTCTGATAGGGTACATGCAAAGCATGTAAAGCATTTCTCTTTACGTTATAGCTTATAGGAATACTACCCTAAATCATTTTAAATTCCCTTATGTTGAGCTTTTTGCTGCATCTTTACTATTGCACTACTTTTATAATATAATCCTGGGTCATTTATCTATGCTAAGAATTTTGATGCTGTCTCACTTCAGATGTAGAAATCAGTAGAAATCAAAAAACAGGGGTACTTTACTGTGTTCTCAGTATTATTTCCTTCATTTGATCTTTCATTTGAACTCAACTTCCACTAGGCCAGACATTTTAAAACAATGCTGTTTACCAACTGTGTGAAAATTGCACACAGGAAACTTCCTATAGTTTTTAAGTAGACCAATAAATAAGTTTTTATGTAGTAAAGCAATTTAATTTTACTTAAGGAGAATGACTTTAGAAGCTCATATTTAGCTTAAAGTGGATTCTTAATGTAAGTACAATTTGAGAGAGTACCTCTGGAATGTCACAGGTGCCCAAGAAAGCATCGCTTAAAGGCACAAGTGTTTTCGGCCCATTGGGTTTATCTGGTTTTCTGAGCTGAAGTATAGACTTGTCACTGGTCTTTGGTTCACTTAATACTTCTAAGAAATTATAACCACAAACTTGTTCTTATTTTTGAACAGAAGATGAAATGTGTGAAGGAAACCTCTAATTTTCCTTTCACAATGATGGCTATGAAAAGCAGTTATTGTTTCGAAAAGGAATTTGAATAGGAGTTGTTCATATAGCTGGTCCTTGCTTTGCAAGTTACGTATATATACATATTCCTAAAGAATTATAATGTAAGGCAAAAGTTGATCATTGAATCTTTTATATCAATGAATTCTACAGTAATTTGAAATACGGGTGTCCGAAGACACTATAATTTTAAGACATTTTAAAAACTAATCATTTCAACATTCATATAGAGAACTGTTTATCTCATTTTATTTGTTTTAGGCACATATATTTTTCTTTTTACTAATTCTTATTCTTTAATTTTATGTGGCAGTGTTTTAAATAGCAATGCTGAATTCTTATTCTAGGTACTCTACAAACCTGATTGGTTGGAACAACCACATGAAATGTACTTTTAAGCATTAATTTAACAATTTAATGTTAACATATAGCATTTGTTATGCCAAGTCCTGATTTAGAAAAGTAAAGGTCTCCTAGGGAAAACAAACACAGATTCACCAAAAGAGCCTGTTCAGAGGATAATCATTGTTAAAAATTAAAGTGCACGTTAGTCTACTACTAAGCCTCTGCATAACTGCTTGGATAAACATTCATACAGTGTTTAGCCCTTAGAAGTTTCCGTGAAGTGTACCAAGTGTAATCTGTGAAGTTTGGCTAAGATGCATACATCTCAGCCATATAGAGGAATAAAACAACCACCTCTAATTGATTAAATACCTGACAGCCAAAACTGTTGAAATAAATGTACTCACCACTGAGTTTACCTGGATTGTCTTCATAATAACGTGGGTCTTGCCCAATTTTGAAGGATGCTAACATAGATGTCATAAGGCTAGCATACCGCCTTTAGCTGTTTACAGGTTTTCTATGAGGTCAAAATTCTAGGAACTCTAGGCTGTTGACTATAAGTAGTTCCCTTAATAAAATTTTAAGAGTATAGGTTCCAGGACCAGAGAAGAGCAGGTGCACCTGCAGCTCCAGGGCTTGATTAACAGACAGGTACCTGTCCGCTCTGAAGTAGTGTCACTAAAGGAAATGTTATAGTTCTATAAATAGAATTCATCTAGTTCTATTGTTGATATTGTTAATCGTGTTAATAGTTATTATCTGTAATATGCTCTTATAGTTGATAAGTGTTAGGAACCTTTTGAGACATTAACTTCCATGTTACATTTAAGGGGTTAGTGCCCTTGTAGTGTGGATGCATATAACCAGTATATACGTAGTGGATCGTGCTGTATGCACATACAGAAACCATATATGAATACATGTATATACACATACTATATATGCGTGCGTATATAATTTTTTTAACTTGAATCAGTTCAAATCCGAGTGTAGTCACATATAGCTGTATAGTGTGGGGCAAATCACAAAACAGCCTTTCTAAGGCTGTTCCCTCATCTGTAAAATGGGGCCAACAATAGGATTTACATTCAGGACCATTGTGAAGATTAAAATGAAATAATGCATGTAAAGCCATTCGCTTTACACATATAGTAAATCTTCAATACATGATAGTTACTATTGCTGTTTTAATGTTGATATTGCATATGTACACCTTGTTTTTTATTGCATTCTAATTAAAAAGAAAGGTGATGTTTTAAATTCTCCTTTTCTTCTAGGAGTGTCTCCATAAGTAGCAACAATAACTGTCAGTAAAAATTGCTTTTTCCTGAGAGCATAGTTTGTTGGGAATTTTTTCTCTTCATTAATGAAAAAATTCAGTTATTTCATATCCTTATAGCTTTCCATGAAGGTTTTGAAGATCAATTTGCACCTGTTTCATGATTGAGCATTCTGATAATCCTCATGATTAAGAAACAGAAGATAGATCTGTAGCTTTTTTCTGGCAGTTAATGAAATCCTCACTTTACTTTTGTTCTATTCTGTCAACATTTCTTTCAAAGAATGGAAGAGAGAGATGGAAATAAAATTAATTGGCTTGTCTTCAGAATCAGAATGCATTCAGAATAAATTCATTATTTACTTTCGTAGAATTGATCATATCTTGGAGCCCAAGATAATTATACAAATGATGTGCTTATTTTATTTTGACTTCCATATGTCAACAGTCCTGAGTTTTTTCCGTTCCATAAATAGTCATATGAAAATACAGCAGTCCAAAGTTTGAGATTGTGATCCCCAGTGTTTGGTGTCGTGTTTGCACCATGAAGAACTGTGTATTACTTATATAGTAAGTGATTTTAAAAATGACTTTATCATTGCCATGGTACTTTTTCCTTCAGTTTACTTTACTTTACTTCAGCTATGTATTATGTATTATCCAATAAATTTTCCTCTCATGTGTTAGGATCTTACCCAGTGTGTTACATGCCAAGAAAAACACATTACTGTAAAGAAGGAACCACACGAGTCCCTGGGAATGACAGTGGCTGGGGGCAGAGGAAGTAAGAGTGGTGAACTGCCCATCTTTGTGACCAGTGTGCCACCTCATGGCTGCCTTGCTCGTGATGGCCGCATCAAGCGAGGTAAGATAGGGTCAGGACCAGTTTCGCTACCTCTTCTCCCTTCGTTCAGTTCATGTTTTAAAAAATAACAAGTATCTACAAAATTTGCTGTTAAACAGGACTTTTTTTAATCCTTTAAAATGTCCCTTCCATATGTAAGTGTAAACCCCTCTATAAGGTTAGGAAAAGGCCTAATGTGAAGGAAAGTTGCTGCAGTTTGATGAGGTCTCCATTATTTTCTAATGTTTACTCAGATCATTGGGTTATTTTATGTTGGAAAAGACCCTCTAAAAGATTAACGCTTCCCATATCCTGGCAGACTGGATACTCTGAAGGACTATCTCACTAAAATAACAGATGTTACTTATGTGATAAAGTACCTATGTAGGAGGGGTCTCACAGAAGAGGTAGAGTGGAAGACAATCTTAATAAAAAGGCGTAGTTTTAGGGATTAACTCACTCATAATTTCACATTCCCTGCCCCCCCTACCCCCACCAGTACTGTACAATTTGTAGAGGTAGGGGTGGTAGTAGTGAAAAGAGCATTCTCCATACACTTGGTTTGTTCCTATGGGAAAGTGAGTCTTAAAAGCTATTTTTCTAAGAATGAAGTTGGATCCCTACCTCCCATCATGTATAAAAATTAACTTAGAGTGGATCCAAGACCTAAAAGTAAGAGCTAAGACTTTTAGAAAAACACGAGCATAAATCCTCATGACCTTGGATTAGGTAATGGATTAGTCGGTGGTTTTCTTAGATATGACATCAAGACACATGCAACACAAAAAAGAAAATAGATAAACTGGACTTCATCAAAATCACAAATTTTTGTGCTACCGAGGACACCACAAGAAAGCAAAAAGATAGTGAAAGTGAAAAGATAACCCACAGAATGGAAGAATGTATTTGCAAATCATTATATCTAACAAAGGACTCCTATCTAGAGTACATAAAGAATTCTTTTTTTTTTTTTTTTAAGATTTTATTCATTTATTTGAGACAGAATGAGAGAGAGAGAGAGCACATGAGAGGGGGGAGGGTCAGAGGGAGAAGCAGGCTCCCCGCCGAGCAGGGAGCCCAATGCGGGACTTGATCCAGGGACTCCAGGATCATGACCTGAGCCGAAGGCAGTCGCTTAACCGACTGAGCCACCCAGGCGCCCTAGAGTACATAAAGAATTCTTACAATTCGGTAATAAAAAAGACAATCCAGTTTTTAAATGAGCAAAGGATCTGAATAGACATTACTCCAAAGAAGATACACAAACAGCCAAAAATCACATGAAAAGATGCTCAGTGTCATTAGATATTAGGAAAATGCACATCAAAACCACTTCATACACAGTAGGATGAACATAATAAAAAAGACAGTAATATTGTAATATTAGCAAAGATGTGGAGAAATTGAAACTCTCAGACATTGCCAGTGGGAACATAAAATGGTCCAACTGTTTTGGGTAATAGTTTAGCGGTTCCTCAAAAAGTTAAAAACAGGGTCACCACATGACCCAGCAATTCTGTTCCTAGAGAGATGAAAATGTACATCTCACCCAAAAACTTATACATTATTTTTCATAATAGTCAAAAAGTAGAAATCATCCATATGTCCACTACCTGATGGATGGATCAACACAATGTATTATTATGTCCATGCAATGGATGTTATTTGGCCATAAAAAGGGGTGAAGTATTTAAAAAAAAAAAGGAATGAAGTATTAACACAAGCTACTATATGGATAAACCTTGAAAAGATTATGCTAAGTGAAAGAAGCCAGTCACAAAAGACCATGTTTGGTTGCATTTATATGAAATGTCCAGAATAGGCAAATCTGTAGAGACATAAAGTAGAATAGTTCAAGTTTGCTCAGGACTGGGGGCGGGGGGTGCGCAGTGAGATGGGAAGTGACTGCTAATGAATACAGGGTTCTTGGGGGGAGGGATCTAAAAATGATGTGTGACGGTTACACAACAATGTGTTTGTACTAGAAACCAAAAATTGTATACTTTAAAATGAGTGGAATGAATTATACCTTCATAAGGCTATTTTTTTTTTTAAATGTTATTTGCCCAATTGTGGAATTTAGGGTAATTTTATTTGTTTTCCAGGTTTTCTGCAATGAGAATGTTTTGTTTTCATAATCTGAAAAATCAGTGATGAATTGGGAGAGAAGGACTTTCCGTAGACTTTCTTGGTACCTACAAAACTAATCTTTTCCTTCCTAACCTTTTATATAATCCTCATTGCCCTTTTTTTATTATATTACTTGGCAGGGCAACAAACACTTTTTTCTCTTCCTCAAGCAAGAGAAGATGTTCAAATCACAAGTTTCATTTCTTTGTGTAGGCCCAAGGATCTCTTTTCTTTAAGTATTCTTATATGTTCGCGCTGAGCAAACTATGTAGGGCTATCTTTATGTATAAAACTGCGTAACTATAAGACAGGATATATTACAAATTCATTTCTAAGAGCAAAGGATCAAATAATTTTTGAGCAGAAAAGAACTATAGAAATCACTGAAGCCCAAAGAAGAGAAGTGAACATGCCCAGGTCCTACACATAGCAAAACTAGGTCTAATGATTTGGACTTCCTGTCGAATCACAGTGCCTCAAGCTACACTTTTTCCTATATATGATGAAATTATCTTAAAGTTTTGAGTTGTTTTGGAATGTTTTCCATGAATTGGATTTTCCCTCGGTATCGTAACAATGACAGAGAAGTGAAAAAATTACAAATAACAGGATGTACAGGGAAGATAATGACTTGGTAGCTCATCTCATTTTTCTTGTTCATTTGGACAGGTGATATATTGCTGAATATCAATGGCATTGATTTGACCAATTTAAGTCATAGTGAGGCCGTTGCTATGCTGAAAGCCAGTGCCGCATCCCCTGCTGTTGTCCTGAAAGCACTTGAGGTCCAGACTGTTGAGGAGGCATCCCAGGCCACCGAAGAGCAGCCCGGCACCTTCAGTGAGAATGAATATGATGCCACCTGGTCCCCATCATGGGTCATGTGGCTTGGGCTTCCAAGGTACTGACAACGTTTTGGTGGTTTCATGGAATAATCGTAGTGACAACCTTTCTCAGTGTGTAACACGGTAAATTCACTCATCCAGGGGGGAAAAAGGCCCTGGTCAGAGATAAAAGTGGCAATGGCGTATCAAGTTACAAAAGAAAATGGTATTTTTTTCTTAGAATATTATATTTTAAAAGGTAAATTTAAGGGGTGCCTAGGTGGATCAGTCAGTTAAGCATCCAACTCTGGATCTCAGCCCAGGTCTTGATCTCAGGGTCGTGAATTTTTAAAAAAAAAAATTTTTTTTTAATTTTTAAAAAATTAAAACATTCTTAAAAAATAAAGGTAAGTTAAGGTAAGTTTAATAATAAGAACTAGGCTAAGAAGACTTATTGTATCTGTTTGTAAAAATGAATAAAGCCGTTCTGTCCATTCCTATTACGGTTCTCAAGTGGACCAGCCATGTGCAGTCTCTTGCTTTAGAAAAGCTGTCATTTACCACCATGCATTCTGATACGTGCTTAGACTTCATGTGCACTTTTCACCAGAAAAACCAGGTCAAAGTGTGGGGCCTTTCCCTACTCCAGAAGCTTTTCCAAAACCCCTTTCTTAATCTTTTTAACTCTCCCTAAAAAGGCAGGATGTAAAACTCGGTTTTTATTGGACGTTTAAGCCAAACCATTGGTGTTCAAGAATAGGTGCCCCTCACCACCTTAGTGAAGAGTTCACTGCTTCGGGACTGTCACCTGCCAAGACATTCTACAATTGGTCATTGTCTGGTCCTGAAAGTGCAACCTCCTGAGGGTTGTGTAATTTGGTATTGAGATAGGAAGAATGTGTATTACTGTCTTTGTTTCCAGATCACTTTAGATTCTTAATGTGTAGAGGAATCCTAAAACTGAACTATGATGAAACATTTTGACTCTTGAGCCAAGTATGAAAATGACTGATTTTTTAAAATAAAAATACACAGTAGGAATGCCAGTTTCTGAGCCATATAGCTTCATTTGGATGTAATTTGTAATAACTAGCAGTTGTATAGTTCTATATGATTTACTAAAGAAAAGTACTTTCACATAAAGAATAGCAGAGAAAGCAAGGATGAGTGGAATTCATTTGTCAGTCATCTAACTTTCTGACTTGTCCTCTTGGTTGAAAAAGACTAAAAAGGCCTAAAACTGTAATAGACTTCATGTCTCAGGGACCTGTAGGGATCGATTCAAATGGTTGCTAAGAAACTGCAGACGTGCTACCTAATGGTGAGGTGTCAGCCATCAGAGGGAACTCATTTATCTTGTTAAGTACGCAGCCCAATACATTGACCTGTCCCTTGAAACCTAGCGTGTCAGGAAGGCCCCCTCCCACACCAGTGGGTGAGAAGTGGTCTCCCCTGCTGCGCAGTGGCCGCGCACATGCGCACCGCTGCTGGTGGCCAGGCAGACCCTGGCGCTGTGCCGCGCTGGGGCTCCCTCTCTGGTTCTCATTACCTCGTCTTCCAGGCTAGCTTTGCAGTCAGCACTTTACCTCTTGTCTTCAGAGCATTTTCGGGTGTACCAGGAAGACTAATGAATATTTCAGATGAAAAATACACAGGAGAATAAAATCAATTTTGGGGTCCACCCGTATCAAAAGAGTATCTGTCAGTCAACGGTCACTATTCTGTGGAGTCTTGGGGGTCTTCTGTTGTGTGCAGACCTGTATTCACAACCACATGTCAGAAGGGCCACGTGTCAGAAACCTCCTTTAAGCAGGTTTCACATCACATACGGTAGCAGCTCTGCTCTTTCTGAAAAGGGAGGTTCTTCCTCTGCAGTTGGCTAGGGCCGTACCAGACAAAACAGTTACTTGTTTTGTGTTGTGTTGTTTTGATTGTTTTTTGCAGAAGATTCAGAATCATGAAAATAACCTATATCGTCTCTAAAATACCAGGCTGATGCCTTTGACCCTGCTCTATGCCAGAAGCCTTTTTAAAAGCCCTTTCTTACTGGTGAGCTAAGAAACTGGACCAGATTAAAAGTTCTAGCATTTCATATATCGCTTACAGAATTGGCTTTATTAAGAAATCTTTTTAATAGATTAAAAGCAGGAAACCTTGCCTTAGATGACTAGATCCAATTTCATCTAAAAATGAAAGATACTTCTTTCATATAAAGAGATATTTTTTCTATATCATTTAGGTGGGGTTTTTTTTCTATTTTTATTTTTAAGTTTTTATTCATCAAGCTCTAACGTGTCACATCCTCCAACTGACAGTGGCATTTTAACTGAAGCGTCTCAGTGTCCCTGGTTAAAAATAAAAAAGGGAAGGGGGAAAGGAAGAGGTGATTTTCATTAGTGTTTTCTAGATTGAGTTCTCTATTTTGTCAATCGTCTCCCTTAAAATGAGTGCATTTTAAGGGAAGGAGGAAAGAACAACAAATAACTCCTCGCATAGATTAAAAAGAAAGTTTTCTATCTTTCTTTCATTTGAGTGCTGAGATTAGCCAGACTGGATCCCTTCTGTACCACTGTTTTGTAGATACAAACTCTGTAGATACAGACGGATATCCAAATTGAGGACATTGTTGACAGTGCAGGGGGCAAACGTAGGCACAGAATCATTTTATACGACTTTCTGTGGTGTAACCTGTAACCAGGTGTGTTTAGCTCTGTGTGTGTGTGTGTGTGTGTGTGTTCACTTGGGAAAAGAAGACCGGAAAATGTTGGAGAAATTCCAGTCTACCTTGGACTGAGTCTGTGCTAGAAAATGGGTTGTCAGAGTAATGTGTTCAGAAGGAAATAAAGTAGCCCTTTTTCGTTTCCCCGCAGTGATCAGTATGGAGTTACAACAACAAAGGTGAACAGGGTGTAAAGGCCTCCACACTAACTAGTTCTGGATCTTTGTGTTCGTTGTAGTGCCCTTCATAGCTGCCATGATATCGTTTTACGAAGAAGCTACTTGGGAAGTTGGGGCTTTAGTATTGTTGGTGGATATGAAGAGAACCACACCAATCAGCCTTTCTTCATTAAAACCATCGTCTTGGGGACTCCTGCTTATTATGATGGAAGATTAAAGTGAGTCTTGTGATAATCAGATAATGTGATTTATGTTTATTGTGATGGACACAATCTTGACCAGGGGTCAGCTCCAAACCCAGCCTTTGTCCTTCCTCGTCAATCAAGTTTTCCCGGAACATGGCTGCATTCATCTGCTTACACATCCTCCATGGCTGCCTGTGAGCCACAGTGGTGATGTTGAGTCATTGTGATGGAGGCCATGCGGTTCACAAAGGCTGAAATACTTGTTTACTAACTGGCCCTTTACAGAAACAATGTGCCGGCCAGATCTCTACTGAAGCATCACTTTGACTATCTTGCTGCTTAAAAATAGCCCCAGATGTCTTGCAAAGTAGAAAATACACCCTCACCATTGACAGCTGATGATTAAGTGAAACTGTGAATTTCATGCTAGACAAATCTCCATTAGGATAATGTTTTCTAATCGCATGAAGATAGTTAACAGTCCATTTCTGTTTGTCTTTGGCCAGATGTGGAGATATGATCGTAGCCGTCAACGGCCTGTCAACGGTGGGCATGAGCCACTCCGCACTAGTTCCCATGTTGAAGGAGCAGAGGAACAAAGTCACTCTGACAGTTACCTGCTGGCCTGGAAGCCTGGTGTAGGATTTGAAATCGGTTGTGAGTCGAACATCTTCCTTTTTTAGGCTTTGGAAAGAAACCCCTTTCGTTGGATTGTGTTTCTGCTTAGGAGCTACAGACACAGCTGATGTTTGCAGGGCCCAAAACCACTGAGATTGTCCTTTTGTTATTAGTAAAACGGCTTTCCTCCAGTTAGCCACGTTTCTTTGAGCTTGGTCTTCCACTAACCCTTATAAGCTCGTGTTTTCAAAATTCAGACTCTCCGTTGTCAGAATGTGACCTAAAATAATGAAAGAAGTGCGCGCGGGCTGCGGTCCAGCCAGCTGGCTTAGAGGGCTTGGGGTGGTCCTTGGTTTTCCCGGCCGAATCACAGAGTGAGCCGGGTGCCCGAGCGCGGGAGCTGGTGGAGCCCATGGCTGTGGCCCTCGCTGCCCCTGTTGCGGCCAGTGCCACGAATGGATACATCTTCGTTTAGCTGTAGCCCTTTCCCGTTTTCTCCCCATCAGTGCCAACGTTTCAGAACTTCATACTGTTTATAAAGTGGTATTTCTGACTGTTTGGTGTCCCCTTTAATTTCTTAAGGAAGTCTGACACTACTAAAGAGCTTTTTAAAAAATAATGTACCATTAATTAGAATACTAGATAATCAAAGGTCACGTTTTCCATTGACAGAGGCATTTGGGAGGTAATTATAGTTTAGTGCTGGAGATGGTAAAAGCCACACTTGCTTGCAGAAGTCCAGAAGCATTAAAGATTCCTTTCCAAAGGAATGTTTTGTTATGCAGGGAAATTTTGAAGCAGATTTTGCTAAAATTCATTTTCTAGAGTCTGTATTGTACTTATCAGCAGTCTTGGCTGGACATGCTTTTTGTGATTTCTGTAGTTAAACTAAAGATAAAACCGTGTTGCTATTCCACACACATTCACCTATATCGCGGCTCAGTGTAGGAGAAGGTGTACTTTTTTTATTTCATTCCGAGAAGAGCCTTCAGTGTTCTAGAAATCCTTATTTTTTCCCCATTATTTCTTGTGAACTTAATTATTTCAAGAAAAAGACTGGAAAGTCCTGGATTTTTATCTAAAATAGTAGGTTTTAGATGTTAATATCTTTCAGTCAGTTCTTGGTCACGAGGCTATTTCTTATTTTTCTAAATGCTTTTGAAAACTACAGCCAGCCCATTTTGTTAGTCCTTCATTCCACTTGATTGTCCCTTGGAAGAACGCATAAAGAAGCGAATAAAATCAAAATTTCTTTACCTTCTTAATGTTACGCATACTTGAAAAGAGTTTCACTTAGAAACCTAGTTCAGAATCTGAGCTCCTTGACAAGTGCCCTCTGTAATAAATGGTATTGATTATCAGAGAATGTATTTCCAAAACACTACAGTATATTATGAAGCATGACCACTTTGTTTTCAAACTGGCAGTTGTATTGCTGGGGCTTATTGTGTCTGCAGCATGTCACCGATTATTCCTGTTAGTTTTTTAGTGATTTTTTTTTTTTTTTAAACATACCGCTTTTGAATAAATAAGAAATGGCAATAGTAATTGCTACTGATTTGTCCAACCCCTTAGCTACACTGTACGGCCAACATATATAACCAAGATGCAGTGGAATGCCCCATACAGTATATTACTGTTACGTGATTGGCTTTTGAAGCAATTTGGTATTGAAATGCTTTGATATTCTAATTGATGTGGAACAAGTTTTTTTTTTCCTGCTCCCCAAATAGAAATTTTATATCCTACTTTGCTATTTTTTTAAACATTTTGTAAGAATGTATCATTTCTTGGGGCGTGGCCATCCATCAACAAATATCCCAATGGCTACTTTGTTGTATATAAAATACTTACATTGAACCTGGGGATAAAATGAGTATTTTGAAAGAAGACACTTTTTTCGACTTTATTTTTATCATGGAAATCTCAGACTCAGCTTAAGCTAATTTGGTTTTATTACAAAACATGATAGTTTTTGGTCAGAATGATATTTGGTGATGGAAACTTGTTCATAATTTATTGTTACTGTTGAAATATTTGAATTTTCTCATCTTAACGTAAATAGTTCAAATATTTTGATTTGTTCTGTGCCTTCGGTTTAAATTATTTCAGGATTTTTCAAATGTGTTTAAATAATGGTGTGATCATCATTTAGGATGGAAATAAAAGTCATCCTTCCATACTAGTGATATTGTCTCTTTTCTGAAGCAGCAGACGTTGACTCAGTACGTGATCTTTATGTTTGTTCATGGCCCAGCAGGCTGCCCACACCCTCAGTCCTGCTTCCACACACGCCTGTAGTCGCCCTTCTGTGCGTGGCCAGGGTGTGCCATATGGGGTGGGAGGCGTAGCTTGAACGCTGCCCATCTAGCTTTCTCCGGCCCATACTCCCCGCTTTCGAGAGAATTCCCCTCCGTGTGAGGGTGAATCTCCACAGGCCTCTATCTGCCTTTATATGGCTCTGACCTAAGTACCCTCAGAGTTGTAAGTCCCGTCTGATGCCACCTTGCAATTCTGAAGGCCGCTCATGCCCTGGTGCTGTGGCTCCCACAGTCTGCAGACTGAAGGCACCCAACCTCACTTCTGCACCCCGACTCTGTGTTTTCTCACGCGCTTATCTATCTCCACTCTCTCTCACTCTGAACTCTTATCGGCAGCCTTTCTAAACCCTAACTTTAGGGGCGCCTGGGTGGCTCAGTCGTTGCACGCCTGACTTCGACTCAGGTCATGATCCCAGGGTCCAGGGATCGAGCCCCGCATCGGGCTCCCTGCTCGGTGGGAAGCCTGCTTCTCCCTCTCCCACTCCCCCTGCTTGTGTTCCCTCTCTCACTGTCTCTCTCTCTCTCTCTGTGTCAAATAAATAAATAAAATCTTAAAAAAACAAAAACAAAAACAAACCCTAACTCTGGTCATTGCTCCGGGCATTTCACTGTTGAGGGATCTTGGCGCTGCAGGAAAGTCCCCTCACCATCTGCCCCCACCCCCATCTCTTACGTAACTTCTCCTCCCCACTCCTTGCCTCATTTAAGAACTGCCACCACGCCTGTGCCTACGCGGGCTGACCTGGCTCAAGTGGCGTTACCTCTCTTTGGGAAATCTTCACAAACCTCCTGGGGCTAGCCCTTTTTTTTCCTCTCTTTTAAAAGGTTTTATTAAACTATACTTTTATGGTCATGGATGCATACTAGGAAGAAGAAAAACTTGCAGGTAGGTGCTTGATTATCACTGTCTCTAGCAGTTTTTAAAATTGGACATTAAATATCAGAGATTCTATATCTTCTGAAGAGCCCGGGTATTCTAGAGGGAGAATGTAGGCCTGGTGTCCTTTCTGTCCCAGGATCTCCTCCAGGATGCCACATTACATCTAGTTACGCCTCCTTGGGCTCCCCATGCCAGGGCCATTTTCTCAGACTTCCCTTCCTGAGGAGGACCTTGACAATGTTGAGCACTGGTCGGGGATGTTGTAGGATGCCCTCTATTGGAATTTGTCTGCTCTTCCCCCCTCATGATTAGACTGGGGTGATGCGTTTGCAGGTAAAGTGCCATTCCCCTCATGTACAGCAAGGCTGCCTACCATCAGCATGACCTGTGGCTGTTGGTGTTGACCTTGTCCACCTGGCCTAAGTAGAGTGTGTGTCGGGTGTCTCCACAGTAAAGTTGCTTGCTCTTCCCTCCGCACTGTCGTCTTTGGACAGAAGTCACTCTGCACAGCCCGCACAGGTGTGGACAATTATATGCTCCACTTATTTTTGAGCTGGTCAGCAGAACGAGAGGGTCTCTGGTGCTGCTTAGGGAGGCCTTGTGGGTGGAAAGACGGGAATCCGGAGGACTTAGAGGGTTTATTCTCTCAGGATCCTGTGCCCTCACACTCCCAACCAGCTACTGCGCTTTCTCACGAAAAGACAATGTGGTCTGTAGATTCTATTGCTGTAACTTCCAACCTTGGTTTCCATTCTTTTTGTATATTGAAGCAGGCTGTTGCTTTATGATTCCTCAAGTGTTTGAAGCCTTAGTCAGATAAGCAGATGGTTTAAATTTGAAGTTAACAAACCTGAATTTCAGCTGCTAAGGGTACTTCAGCCTGTACATCATGCCGAAAGCACCCATGCGATAATACATCAAGGTCCCATTAATTCAGACTTAACTAATTTGGAATTTGAAAGCTTAAACAGAGTTGCAGTTACCTTGGCACTTTATATAAAGAATGAGTATCTTAAGTCAACATTTAAAAAGTGAGAGTGGGATATCTAAGCTGCATCTGAAGTATACAGTTTCCAAGTCGCCTTAAGCACTTGAATACCCAGGCCCGTTCCAGTGATTGGTAGTTCTCTCTCCCATGTAGTCATGTAAACAAGAGTCCACCTAGCACCTACTGTGTGCATGACACCTAGGCTCTGGATCACCTCTTTGTAATGCCTGATTTCATCTTTCATAATTCACACCTTCCATTTGTCCCTATTCAGTGATAAAACCGTGTAGGTTACATGGCAGAGTGAACTGCTGCCCGGTCACAGGCCAGGAAGTCAGGAAGCGAGCTCCTTCTCTGAAATCTCTCTTCTCTGCCTGCTGAATGGAAGGTTTCAACTCCTCAGGGTCCTTATTAGAAAGCTCTGGCCATTTTACAGTGTAAATCTCCACTGAACGATGCTAGCAATTTCTACGGCAACACAAAAGCTCTTTAGAAGTAAAGTTGAACATGTAGGCGCAGGGCCTACGGGCTGTAAATCACCCAAGGTGAGAGGTGCTGAAGTGCGGAGTACACTGGAGCCCCTGAAGACGTAGCACCTCCCCGCACACAGCAGAAGGGCAGGCCTCCAGCCAGAAGGGTGACCTGCGGAGGTGCTGAGCGCTCCAAGATTTCCGTTTGAACCCTAACGACTCGCCTGCACGTCATGCTTTGAAGTTGGGCTGTTTTGCAAATTCCTACCAGTACGTTCGCTTTGTTCCTCAAAAGTTTTCAGTTTTAAGGGTGTATCCAACAACAACCCTTCCTTGAATTGCCCAAAAACTGACCACTAGTTGCGGAGAGGTCATGTGGGAAACATCTGTTGCTCAGACTCTGATGTAGGGAAGCCACAGTTGTCCAGTGTCAAGGTCCTGAGGGTGGAGGCAGCTGGAAAAAAAAATAAATAGGGGCGCCTGGGTGACTCAGTCCGTTAAGCGACTGCCTTCGGCTCAGGGTCCTGGGATCGAGCCCCGCATCGGGCTCCCTGCTCGGCGGGAAGCCTGCTTCTCCCTCTGCCCCTCACCCTACTTGTGTTCCCTCTCTCGCTGTGTCTCTCTCTGCCAAATAAATAAATAAAATCTTTAAAAAAAAAAAAAGAAAAAAATAAATAACGGACATCTTTGCTGAGATTTTATTAGGAAGTCTTCTCTCACCCACAACTCTGCAAGAATGTCTAAGGTCATGGGAGGTGTTGAGTCACATACCCATGACTGCGACCCTCCCACCACCAGCCCTCCCGGGGAAGCGACACCCCAGAGCAGTTTTGCAGATTTGCCCCCTTCCTTCTGTGCCCCTTTTCTTCCTCCATGGTGCAAGCCTCCAGGTCTTGCCTGCCCTCGGGACAGCATGGGCTCTCTTCCTGCTCCTGGGGTCCCAGCCTGTGCTAACAAAGGCGAGCGCTGTGCGGAGAGGGGGGTGCTCACAGCAGCAAAGCTCACCCTGCGGAGAGTTAGTGAATGTGTAAGGAAAACAAGTTCTCGTCTCCTCTCACCTACAAGTCCTTCCAAAGGATGCGATGACCTTGTGTCATGCAAGTCCCCATACCCTCGATAGTCTCCTCCCCCATTGACCCCAAATCATAGAACCTTAGTCAGGAAGTCCTTATCCGTGTTTTTCTGATATAGGAATCACTTCTATAATATGGTCATCAAGCCCCTGCTTGAATGCTTCCATGACAGGGACCTCATGACTCCGTTTGTAATTGTAAATGCTTGCTTTCGGTAATAGTTTGCCCCTGCCTTTCTCCCCAGCTAGAGTGTAGACACTCAGGGGGATAGCTCTTCATGTTATCTTTAATATTTAAATGAATATGAGGCAGGCACAATACACAAAATACTGATACTTTTTTTTCCTTTCGCTCAACAAAGATTTATTTAGCATCTGCTTACATGCCAGGCACCGTGCTAGGGGTTCAGAACCCATCAGTTACCAAGACAAAGTCGCCAGCTATCTCTTAACAATAAAATGAAGAAATCATTTACTTTTAGGTGGTGATAATGCTAGGAAGGAGCAAAAGCCAGGTGGACGGAGGCCATGGGAGGCCATGCAGGGGGAGGGAGCTGTGCGAGAGAGGCGGTCAGGGAAAGCATCACAGGCGGAATACAGGCTCACTGCTGCCGTTGGATTGTGCACCTGTGGGTTGTTTAGAGACCACCGGATCACGTGGTGGTGATCACTCACCTGGGCCGGCTGTGCCCACGTGATCGGCTCTCGGCACGCTGGCCGGACCTCCACTCCTCCTTTCCTGCCACTCTGCAACAAGAGCACTGATGTATGCTGGGGCGCACGTGATACTAATTTAGCGGGAGGCCACCTGGATGGCCTGGTGGATGGAACCAACCAGGCCGGGGTCTGTGCTTGCCACTTACCAGCCTGAAAGACCTGGAGCAATTCATTTAATCTCAGCTCCTCAGTGTTCTCATCTAGCAAATGAGAAGAAGGAGCTTACCTCGCTAGGTAGGTGCAAGTTTGAGAGACTGCGCGTATAAGGTGGTTGACACATAGTGTGAAATAGGCTATAGTTAACGTGTAGACACAGAGACACTGGCTCCGCATCCCCAGGAGTCACCGAGAATGACTAGAAGTGAGTGAGTTGTCTACTTTGGGAGTTTCCTCTGAACTCAAACTTCTGTTTGCACTCAGTATTGTGCGTGTTTTTCCAAACACGGTACACTAACCAGCAGGTTCTGTCATGCACCTTAATCACCTAAGTGACTCACTTTCCCCAAACATGGTGCTAAGCTTTCCCAAGGCCAGGATGCTGCTCATGCTGTTCCACCCCTCCAGGAATGCCTGATCCCAGCCCACTGGGCCCTGCTAGTCCTTGCCAGCCCAGCCCAAATGTCAGCTGCCGCAGAGCTCCCCAGTGCTGCTGGCCCAAGTTCTTACCTCCCCCCTGCCTCTCCCAGCCCGTCTGCCCCGTCTGCCCCCTCGGCCCCTCCCGCGTGCTTGCCTTTCGGTCGCTGCTCCCTGCCCCCCGCTGCAGCCCGCACAGGCTGTGCCCCTCGGCAGCAGCGAGCTCCTTCGCGGTCTGGCTATTCAGCCACCCACACGCCTCATAGCGCCTGACACGTGGTGTTGTGCAACGTTCAACAGTGTGTAAAGGCTGCAGAGAAGCCGATGATGGGAATTGAGGAACACCTCTGGATTGCGCCACTGGTGATTTTTAAGAGAATAGATCCCGCAGCGGGGTAGGGCTACGAAGACCAGAGGCCAAGGGGTAAAGGAGTGGATGCGGAACAGCTGAGGAGTTTCTGGGCCGTTCTCACAACAAGTTTGGCAGAATGTGCGAGTCTTTGTGGATGAAATGACAAGATGTCTGGGACGGGCTTGCAAGCACTCCAGCAAACAAGGAAAAATGGGAGTAAGGGAAAAGAAGAAAGAAGGGAGTAAGAGAATCTTTGAATTTTCCATAATAGAAATAGCACAATAGCAACAAAGCAACAAAAAAGTTTGGAAGGGAGCAAAAATGCCATCATTAGCCAGACCTCTGTAGTTTGAAATCAGTACGGGAAAACACAAGATTGAGATTTCCTTCTTTTTGCTTACCTATTTTGGTGTAATTCCTAGGCAAGTTTGCTGGTTCTCATCTTCTACACGTGTTTCAAGGAGTGCAAGTGACAAATGACTAACACGCCCACGCCATGCATTTATCTCACTACCTCTAACATCGTTTTGCATGCGCTTTGCATTCATCATAAATTTTTCACTTGATTCTCATAATAACCTTACAATGTTGGGTGTAGATATATCCACTTGATAAATGAAGAAAAGGGGGGTTAAGGGACTTATTTGCATGTAACTGACAAATGGACAAATACACCGCAGAAACCAGGACCCACACCCGGCTGCCTAGGACCAGCCTCTACCCCAGCACACTCCGTCTGTGCCCTGATGCACAGGCTCGTCCTGAAATTAGGGGAGAGAACTGCTTCCCTCCTCTTTTTGCATCTGCCCTCCCCAGGAGGAGGGCTGTGCCACAGTCAACGTTCATTCAACAAACAATGAAAATGAGTAGGACAGCCCTGTCCCTTGGGAGGCTTGCAGTGTCATCTCAGGAACAGGGTCACTGTCCTCTGCTGGACCTTTGGCGAGACTAGGAGTTAACGTTCTACTGAGTAGGAACTTTGCAAGGTTGCAAACTGTGTTAAGTCTATATTCTGATTTATTCTTATCCTTGACTTTGAAAAAGACGGACATTCTTAGTTTGTAATGCCCAACCAGCTTACTTCAGCCCATCCTCTTGATCTTAGCTGTGTACTTTCATATTTCCATTTTAATTTCTGAACAGGGAACCTCATCGGAGGTGCCCTCTCAATTCCTGCTCCTGGCTCTGACATTATGTATCTTGGCAGAAATTCTCAAGTATACTTCAGGATTCAGACACAGTAGCTTGAGAACTTGACATTGAAATTCAGTAAGAGATTTGGAGAACTCCATCAATACAGCATCTCCACCTAAAGAAAATCCCTTTGGTTTCTGTGATGGAGTTGAAATTATAAGAACTAACATTTATTGAAAGTCGACTCTATGCCAAGCATTATTCACACGCATTTATCTGCTCCCTCCTCACAAGCTTTTGAAGTAAATACTGCAGTCATCCCAGTTCCACGGCCGAGAAAGCTGAGGCAGAGGGAGCTGAGTTCCCAGGGCGGAGCCTTGGTGGATCGATGAGCCCACCGAGCTCTATTCCATCCCACACTGATACTGATAACCATGCTGGATCCATACCAGGCCAGGGTTCATCTCCTTGGGCTTTCTGTGTGAGCCCCGACCAGGGATCAGAAATCTGCACTCTGACCCGGCCTTTGCCTTCGTCTTCCTGTCTGTCATCTGCCTCCCTATTTGTCACCTTTCCCTTGTCACCATCCGACATCTGACGTGGCCAGGCAGCAAGGGGAAGACTGAACCAGCAGCAGCCCAGCGGGCCAGACCTGAGTTGCATCAGCCCGTCCCTGGACGGTTCCTTCTGCTGGAAAGAAGGTATGATCTGTCCCAGCTACTTGATGATGAGAACTATACTCAAGGCACGATTATTTTCATGTAAATTCATAGATGGGATTTCCTATTGTCAAGAAGTAAATGTGAAAAAGAGCTTCTTAGAAACATCATGTATCGTTGACAAAAATGCCTGTTCTCAAGGTAGGACCGGCTGGCCACGCTCCTGCAGGTCTGATTACACTGGGGGTCGGGCCTGCAGGAACAAGGAGCAAGGCATTCTCCGTCAAGGCTCAGGGCTGTTCCTCCAGAAGCCGGCCGACACTCTCCTTTGCCCACGTGTGTGTAGGCTCCATGCGGGCAGCATCAGTGCCTTTCTTGGTCAAGGCCTTGCCCGGGTGATTTGTGGATACACGGGGGAAGGACTGACACAGCTCAGTGTAAGTAAAACCCCAAGAAGAAAGCAAACAGGCAAACAAAACCCCAAGATCATGAGAGAATCCTCAGCCAGGGTTTCCGGCCTACTGCGTTCCTCCTCCCTCCACTCCCCCCGCCTCGTCCTGTCTGTCTCTGTTTTGTGTCCATCCCTCATTTCCTTCACTTTGGTCCTTGCTTTCTTTGCTCTGTTTCTTTTTTGCTTCCCCAGCCTGAAAACGACACTGCTTTGAACCACACCTTCTTTGTATCTTGGATCTCTTTCCCACAGCTCTTTTCTGTTGCATTTTGGCAGGGTTTTCAAGGTGTCTGTGGCTGAATTTCAAAGGTCTGACTGTGTACTTTCCCCCTGGGGGACACGGGAGCCCCTGGTTCCTTCATTTCCATCCTTCTCTCTTCTCTTTCATATCTGATCCCCCACACCAGCCCTGTGGGGCCACTCAGTTTACCCCCAGTGCTCCTCTTACATTGCCCCCAGCACCCCTCCCACCAGCTCTCAGGCTCTCAGGCTCCTCAGAAACCCGCCCCCCCCCCCGCCCCCAGGGAAAGCCCACATTAGCGCTCCACCTGAGCTTTGGTTCTCTTTTTATGTTCTCTTATTTATTTATTTATCTTGTACTGTACCTTCTCACCTGGGCGAAAGTTCTCTGGGCAATTTGAGGCCCGGCGCCAGGGCTTTGCTGTTTCTCAGGGTTCCAAGGTGCCTGCCCCAGAGAAGGCACAGATCAGTGCCGAGCCTCAGCAGGAGATGCGTCAGCTGCGGGTGGCTGGAGGTCCAGGTCCCATCAGCAGCCATGGACTCTCTGCCCCTCCCACACCTGTGCCTCTTCCCGGCCCATCTCTGTGTCCAGGACAGCCTTCTCCATTCTAAAATTTCCACGAGCCTCCCCAGCTGAGAGCATTCCTCACGGACCCCAGGCAGGCACCCAAGATTCTTCCCACCAAGAACACAAAGAGCAAAGGAGGGGGGGGGTGTGGGGGGGATGGGCAGGAGTGTCCTGCATAGCCCTTCTCTGGGATGGCTGTGCCCTGGGGGATCGGGCAGGCCTGCCCAGAGGCGAAGGGACACAAACCATGCTTGCTCATCAGAGCAGGTTTCTTCAGACTTTTAAGATTGTGTATCCCCTCAGTAAAGAATTAGGAGCACTCACCCCCTCAATACATATACATTAATCTATTATTTATATATATATGACTCAACTAATATAGAGATTCATTATAAGACAAAATGTGAAAATAGAAGAAAAAGATAAAATAGTGAAATGGTTTGAGTTTATTAAAAGTGTAAAAAATCTTTTCCCTCACTATTTTTTGATTTGATTTAATTTTTTTTAAGTAATCTCCACGCCCAACGTGGGGCTCAAACTCACAACCCCAAGATCAGGAGTCACATGCTCTACCTACTGAGCCGAAGTATTTATTAATAAGTTTTAGTGAAAATAATCTGATTGGATATACATCATTCTTTTTTAAACCTTAATTTTGTATTTGGTGATACAGTATCTAGAAGAACTGGTTCTAGGGGCACCTGGGTGGCTCAGTCATTAAGCATCTGCCTTCGGCTCAGGTCATGATCCCAGGACCCTGGGATCGAGCCCCGCATCGGGCTCCCTGCTCGGCGGAAAGCTTGCTTCTCCCGCTCTCACCCCCCCCCCCCGCTTGTGTTCCCTCTCTCGCTGTCTCTCTCTCTCTCTGTCAAATAAATAAATAAAATCTTAAAAAAAAAAAAAAAAGAACTGGTTCTAGAATTTCGTCTGTGTTGGTACTCAGCTGTCACACGTCTCTGAGACCGGTTTATCCCCATCCTCACTTCCGCGTCCATCCACCAATTATACAGTTTGTTGTTTCAATTCAGCTATGGAAATTTCCATCTCCTCTGATGTCAGTCTATTTTTGCATGCTAATTAGAAGCTCTTGCAATTTTACATTTTGGACAAATGGTTTCAAAACATTGTACAGGAGATTCTCATGTAATTAGAAATTACTGCTCAGGGTCACTCTGTTTCAACCTGAAGTGTGCACGTAGGAGTGTTTTGATAGGTTGCAACTACAAATCTAACCTTTTTTTTTTTTTTAAGATTTTATTTATTTATTTGAGACAGAGAGAGAATGAGAGACAGAGAGCATGAGAGGGGGGAGGGTCAGAGGGAGAAGCAGGCTCCTCACCAAGCAGGGAGCCCGATGCGGGACTCGATCCCGGGACTCCAGGATCATGACCTGAGCCGAAGGCAGTCGCTTAACCAACTGAGCCACCCAGGCGCCCAAAATCTAACCTTTTCGACAACAAAAATGCCATGACAGTAAGACATTTCCAAACATCTCATTTTCTAAACGCTATCCCAATACCATCATTTCCTCTGGGGGAAAATTAAAAAAAAAAAAAAAGAATTGTGTTTCCACTTACTGCTAAAGCATCTTTTTCTTGAAATGATGGATTTGTTGGCTTTTTAAAATAAACGCTGGTGGCCTGAGCCTGCCAGATGGGCTGAGGTCCTCCCCACTTTCTTTGCCAGGTGGTTGATGAGGGCTCTTCCCGGGAGAAGCAGAAGTCTCGGCGGCCCCTTTGTGTCTACTTGTGTCTTCGGTACTAATATTGTCATCTGTGGTTTCTTTGCAGTGATTTTTCTGAAGCCACCTATCACTTCTTTCCAGGTTCAGTGTACTTAACATTAAATAATAGTATCTTTAGTCCCCTTAACCAGACACACACACACACACCCCGCAATAAGTCACAATGTATTGAAAATGAATAGAGAGGTGAGGGTTCCCCCAACACCCTTCTTTGAGGATCACCTCTTTGTAATGGCTTTTCTCATCTACCACATGACATGTCTTTGACATGCAGAGTGGATGACAGTGCCGGTATTTTAACTATTTGTTAAAGTTTAAGTTTTTTAGTTTTAAGGAAAAAGTGAATAGAACTCTAATATTTTCCCCCTCATTCAAAGAGACTGACAAGGGTGGCCCCCCAGGGACTGTGGGGGCAGCAAGGAGCACCGGTGGGGCGTGTGTGTTTGCTTCACCGGGGTTAAACTGTTCCCTCTCACCCAGCCAGCTGTGGTGACAGCAAAGGCTCAGGGTGGGCATCCTAAATCGGACATCTGACCGTGTCACGCTCTGGAAACACCGCCGGTTTCTCGTGGCCAACTGAATAGAACCCAGATTCCTCGGTCTGCCTTACGACTTACAGGACCCGCCACCCACTCCCCCACCCGCCTTTGACGCTTTACCCCACCTGCCTGCTCCCCCTGGGACTTGTCCCCGTTCTTCCGTTCTTCCGTTTGTTCCTGCCGTTCTCTGAAGCCCTGCACCCTGGACGTCTTCTCTGCCAAAGCTGCCTCCTGCGACCTTTCCTGGCCGCCTGTGTCCCTCGTCCCTGCTTCCCCAGCACGCTAACCCTCACTCCATGAAGGTGTCGGTGTGGACTTGAAACAGGGCTGATGTGCCTCCCTCTTGCCCGCACTCCCCGTACCGAGCAGCGGGTGTGTCTGTAAAAGGGACTTCAGTTTGGAATGAAAGCGACATCTCTCCTGCACCTGGTCTCCCACAGCCTCCGGGCCACCTGTCGTGGTGCTGATGATGTTTAAGTTGCCTGGTGGGGGCGAGGTGGCTCACGGTCGCTGCTCAGGGTCACTCCCCTTCCCTCTGTTACTGTCCTCCTTTCAGGGGAGGACGAGGAGGTGCAGGGCTCCATCCTCATGGAATTGCGACCCACGGGATGACAGCCCTGACCAAACACTTGTGACTCCTGAGTAGTCTGGAGGAAGGTAGCAAGTGGAGGAACCGCTTAGCTTTTTCTGCCAAGTGGAGTAGCCGAGCATCAGAACCCCGGGGGGCTCGGGGCATCCTGCGTGCGCTCCGGACAAGCCGTGGTTCGCTGTGTCGCCTTCTCACGCCCTCTGGTGGCTGGAGGTTGTGCCCACCCTTACTTGCGCCTTGGTGTTTGTAGCCCCCTGCCCGGTGCAGGTTCTCCGAAGCTACAAACATCTTACGTGTAGAAAGGAGTGGGCAGATCCCCACCCGTGTGGTATGAAGAGCTCGCATAGCTTGAAAAAGCTAGAAAAGCAAGGTGTGCAAACACTGTCGACCTTCCCGTGGGCATTTCTCCACGAAGAGTAAGACGGCAATCCGGCTTCCTCACTGCATGTGAGTTTAGCATCTATGCTATAGGGCTCTTTGAATGTCAATGTTATTGAGGTTTTCATAATTATGTACCTTCAAAAGATGTTCAATGTAATTCTGATCATACTCCTCTAAAAATGCCTCAGATTAAAAGCTTTTGCTGGCTCTTTAGACCGCGGGCCTGCAATTATAGAAAATGAACTGCATTTTAGCTTTCCATTGAAATTAATAACAACGGTTCCCCAGTTGACTCTGTGAATAGTTAATGGAACAAACAGGATACTTCAGTACAATATGGGTTGGAAAGCCATTTGAGTGAGATTCTGGGTTTCAAATGGGAAAATAATTCATACAATGCAAACCTTTCTCATGCACACCCTGTGCAGGAGGTGTTTCTCTGAAATAAACACTGAACTACTTCGCAAATGATTAACCGTACCTCAGTCTGCATGCAACTCTGATGAAAATGGAATTCAGGTAAATCGTCTAGCACATGCTGTTGAATACTGCGAGAGATCTCCTCGTTTGACAAGGAAGAAACATGTTCGGCCAGATTGCGTGTCCTTTACGGACACTAACCTAGGATGGGAGAGGGAGAAAAGTGGGGTCCAGCCTACTGACCAAGAGCAAAGCAAACCCTGCACAGTGAGTATTATCATTCACATTTTACAGATGTAGAATTAAGTAAAGTAACTTGCCCAGCATACCTCCTCCAGCCAGGCAGCCCCTCCCCGTTGGAGACACCTGGAGGGAGATACAGTCTCAGAATGGGAGTGTCTCCATTCTTCCCCCCATCAGCTGGCACTTCCCACCCCTGCCTGGTCCTGTGGCTGGGAAGGGACTTGAGGGACACTTCAGCTCAGGACCTTTAATTTTGACTCCTTCCCCACCAAATTCAAATTGCCTGCTTCTGGGAGGGGTGGGGTTAGGAGGGAATGGGCATAGATCTCATCTTTAGAAGGTGTAGGCATTGGGAGAAATTTCAAAATTGGGTTAGTCAGGGCACTGGTGGTTAAAAAAAAACTAAGAAGAATAAAGATGAAAAGACTTTAAGTAATGTTAAGAAAGATGCATAAGAGGAGAGCCTGGATGGCTCAATTGGTTAAGCAACTGCCTTAGGCTCAGGTCATGATCCCAGGGTCCTGGGATCAAGCCCCACATCGGGCTCCCTGCTCAGCGGGGAGCCTGCTTCTCCCTCTCCCGCTCCCTGCTTGTGCTCTCTCTGTCAAATAAATAAATAAAATCTTAAAAAAAAAAAAAGAAAGAAAGAAAGACGCATAAGAGAAGACTCTTCTCAGCCTCTCCTCACTCAGGAATTCCTCTGTGGAAGGCACAATTGTGTCTCCTTGTGACATTGCATACGCATCTGTTCACACTCATGCCTTATTTCATCCACCCATGAAACACTAGGATGAGAGCGAGTGGCATAGAAACATTGCACCTAGAACCCTAGTAGAAGATTCTGGAAAAATTAGTGAGAGGCGGTGATGGACATCCCACAGGCTTGGCCATAGTGGGCATTAGGTTCGGTGCAAACACTTTAGTAAGAACCTCCCCATCCCCAGCCTGTCCGAACTGGGGATGAAATGGCCTCCAAGCACGATCTCCATGGCAAATGTGATTTAAAAAAACAAAAGATTTCTGAGATGTGGAATAAATGTTATTACACTCAGAGCCGTTAAGATGTAGTTGGAAAGTGACATTAACTACTTTTCAATGCTCCAGGGTCAACTGAGAAGAGACTATAACGTCACGAGGCAGAGCTCTGTCTTTGGGGTAACCCCACGTGACTTATGACCTCCAAACGGCACAAAGCTACGTAGGGGAGCTCATAGGTTAGATGACCGAGTATCAGGACCGGAAAAAGATCCCGATGAGCTGATAGGGAAAGGATAAGCTTTTAAAAGGTAAAGTGCTTCGTTTCAGTTCAGATAATTAAAGACGTAAAGAGAAGATGGGGGTGGAGTTGGAAGTTCTAGACAGCCACAAATCCCATATGAATTAACATGTCATTCGCGGCTTGGGCAGTTTTCAGCTATATTAGCCCAGTTGGAGCAGAGTCTACAGAAAGGGAGGGAGTGGCCCCCGTGGTCCTTTGTTCTAGGCACATGGCATCTAGTTCTTGTGGGATCTAGACTGTGTCCAGAAGGCAGCTCTGAGAGCCTTGTCATCTGAGGTATGATTGAGGAAACCGTAGATGTTTACCCTGAAATACCCCAGGGCACACACCTGCTGTCTTCATAAATTTGCAAGGCTGCCGTCTGGAAGAGGGAGGACGTAGTCTGCACCTCTCCGGAGGGCTGAGCTGGTGCTGGTCTCGGCAAACACAGGGAGGCCGATCGGCACTCAGGGTGAGGGGAATTCCTCCCAATGCCAGGCGCTTCAGCATGTAGCCAGATCTCTGGAAGGTTTCTTGTGGAGACCAGGTGGATGTAGGGAGGGGCCCTCCACTGGGGGAGACGCGGGACGAGGTGCCTCGGAGGACCCTTCCAACTCTGAGGTTCTGGCTGGTGCCACTGGGACCAAGGGGGCATTGTCAGGGACCGAGCCTCATCCTCCATGCTCCTTGGGTAGCATTTGGGGCTTGCAGAGGGGTTTCTGGAGGGGAATATTTGAGGGAAGAGTATTGGAGCGCCATTAGTGCTTGAGGTCATATCAACGAGGGTAAAGGCTTCTCCTCCGCCTCCCATTCTTTCTAGAAGGAGGGTAGCACTGACTGAGAAAAGAATGTGTAGAACCAAGTTAGCTGTTGTAGGGCCCTCCTGGCAGTCAGCTCCAAGCACTATTAATGGGGACTGTTTTAGGGACAAGAGAATAGCTCTATTCTACGGAGCATTTCGCTGTACCGATGGTCCCTACAGTGGGGTCCCTCTGCACTTTCTGGGCTGGAGTTGCCTTTATTAGTGGAACTTGGCTAATAGTAAGGGAGCCTTGGGCCGGGAGTGCTGCGCCCCGGTGAGGGATGGCGGGCAGGATAGGAAGGAGCGGGGAGTTGTGGATCACTGAGGCATCCTAGCAGGAGGTGAAGACCAACCACCAGTTTAGAGGTGAGTGACTTCCCAGAGCTGGGCAGAGTCAGGACCAGGATCCTGTCTCCCGATCTCAAGCCCAATGTCGTCCCCACGTCCTCACTGTGCCCGCCACACAGGCTGACAGATAAGAAACGGGGTGGTGAGGCCTAGGGGAAAGGGGGTCCCAATTAAGATGATTAAAAAAAAAAAGAAGAAGGGGAAGGAAGCCAAGTGCATGTCCGTCCTTAGTGGGGAGGCTTCTCCTCCAGCCCGGAGCCCCGATGCTGGCTCCTGCAGGGCTGGGAGCACTGCTGGGCTGTCAGAGGGCTAGCCACCACTCTGGTCATTCCCATCGCCGTCCGCTCCCCGCAGGGCTGGTTACCTACCGTCCTTTCCCTGCACTGGGCTTACCCATGGTGTAAGTACTGTTGTTGCTCAGGAGGGAACAGGAGCAGAGCACCAGCTGGGCCGGACAGGGGGTGAAGCTGGAAAAAGGGAATCTGGAGCCAGACGTGACCCGTGGCAGCCGTTTCCTGCACTCGGCCTCAGTTTCCTTGCCTGGTCAGGGCACCTGCTTGACAGGTCCCGTGTAAGAATCCCATGAGCCAAACAATGATTGTGAAGAGCCCCATTGCCAAAGGCATAATGGGATTTCCTCCTGGCAGAGGGCCGCCTACTTGGCCTCCTGACAAAAGTCAGCAAGAGACACCCACAAGTGTTCTGGGGATGCCAGGTCATCCTGGGGAGTCTGCCTGGCTGTCTCCCCACCACAGTGGCCCCCCTCCCTGGCCTGGGGCTCTGGAGAGCCAGCTGCCTGTGCTAGCACGTGTGAATAAAGAGTCTCTTGGTACAGCCTGCAAATTAGCCTCTCTTTCTGAGCCAACATGTCTTCTGTTACTTAGCTGAAACAGACACCGGAGAACACGCCTCCGAGCGCAGAGCGTGCTGAGCCACACCTCAGTTTAAAAGCAAATGTTACTTCACAGCCTCGTTCCGAGAGTCACCCCAGTGGCATTCCGCCAAGGGTAATTTATTTCTGACTCACGCATGGAGCTCGACTTGTCTGTGGGGTGCTGGTACCCTGCCCCCGGCGGGGGGTGGGGGCTGGGGATGCCAGGGGGAGCCCTGATGGGGAGCATCTGCCGATGCCCCTGGGGGAAATAGTCCCTCTGTGGCCAATTGCAGGCCGTCAGCATGGTGTCGCTGAACGCAGAGTGGGCTGTTGGGGGCCGGTAGGACCCAGGTCCAGCCCCACACTGCTTGAGATTCATACTGAGGTCCAGAACGGTTTCTTGAGCAAGGTGCTCTCCAAGGAACCACGCAGCTCTGGCACTCCCACATTCTCTGATTTTTATAGCATCTTAAGCATGGTGATTCAGCTAAGTGGGGCGCAGGAAAACGGTCCCAAGGACCAGAGGGAGCTCTGAGACAATGTGTGTCTTGGTAGTACTTGGGGGCATGAAGGAACAGGTGGTCCGTGTGCAGGAATCTCCTTACCCCTTTCACCTTACAGTGGACGTTTTCCAAAACTTTAAAGAGAAGATACTGGAAGAGGACATGCAACGTAGGGCTTCTGAGACCCTGTTCATATTTTGTTTCTTGGCCCGGGGCTGGCTCCATGGCTCGACAGAAAAATGCCAAGCCTCTTTGCTTTTGCCATTGACTGGGGAGTGTGTCCCTCCCCGAAGGCAGGGTCTCAGGCAGTGAGCAAGGAAGGTGCCACCTGCCGGCTCAACCAGGGGAGCCCATCAGCCCTTGGTGTCAATGAAGTTAGGACTTTCAGCCAGACCATCCCCCCGATCCAACCTTTTGAATGTATTTTAAGTTAGAGAGGGGATTGACAATCGAGCATGACGTTTTTCTAACATTTAAAAAATGTAAACATAATATTGATAAATAAAAATGCCCAGACCATAAATGTATGCTGGACTTCACAAAGACCACACCTGAAGGCAACGCCACAACAGAACTTTCTCTTGTTTTCGCAGATGCAGAGCTCACGAGTTTGTGCACTTTCCACACACTTACGCCCCTTTCCTTCCTGAGCGCACAGATGTCCCAACCAGGCCGGTTTTCCTCCCCGGGACTTGCTGTTGTGGGCGCGCCAGGCCTGACCGGGCTGAGAAGGGAAACTGTAGCTCTGGTTTGGGTTTGACAGAGCATCGCCATTGGAACACAAGGTGGCCACGAGTCCTTCCAGATCGACACAGAGCTCCTTCCAGACTGGAAGGCCCCCTGGGATACGGTGACCTTGTGCCAGAACCAGGAAAGGATGGAGCACATGGGGCAGATGAGAGCTCCCCGCTTCCAGAATCCCAGAGACGGAGCTAATGAACTGGGCCTGGAGAGAAGGCTCATTTCTCCCCAGCGCCACTGTCACTGCAGGGAGACCCAGCCCACCCACCGAGGACAACCCGCAGTGTGGCCAAATCTTGGTAACTGAGAGCTGATACAAGTCATGGATGTGTCCCAACAGTCCACGCCACTTCCTCCTGGAAGCCCTCCCCCTCTGCCCTCTACACACACTCATTGCTTCCGGCTCTGTAATCTGGATGGAATGCTTACGATATATGCAGTTAATCCAGCGCACATGGATCAGGCACTGCTGGGGTCCCCATGGTGAACAAGACTGACACTGGAGCTGACAGGAGTATGGGGCACCCACAGACACGTGCAGCCACGGGTTACTGGGGTCCAGTGTTCACAGAATGCTTCTTTGAGGAGACTGCATAGGTCAGGAGGACTCATCGGGGTAGAGCAAATGGCAGGAGACCGTGCAGAGAGAGTGTGGAAAAGCCCAGGGAAGGGAGAGCTTGGGCATGTTCCAGGGACAAAGGGACTTCAAAGTAAGAGTCTCAGGGAGAACTGACAGAGTGTGGCTACCCAGCTTTGGGGCTGCAGAGGGCTGGGACCAGAGAAGGGACTCCGTTGCCCGAAACTGGGCTGAGCTTTATCCCAGGGCCAACAGAAAGCCCTCGGAGGTAGGTAGGCAAAGGGCATGACATGATCTGCATGTGTTCCAAACATATCATTTTTGGCTTTCTTGGATATGTTCTTCATGCAGCAAGGTCTGCTGCTCCCTGTAAGCTCTTTGTGGGGATGGCCCAGAGCCCCAGTGGGGCAGCGCTCACCAAACTTGGGAGGTGGAGGTCTGCTGAGGGGCCACTCAGCATTGCACCTGTAATCCACCCACAAACTGACTCTAGACAAACTAAGATCAGCAGGCTTTGCTCCATTTTTGGCATAAATTCCAGCTGAGAAGGCATGTGGATGCTTCTATTGTCTCTTGGAAACCTTAAAGGATTCCATTTTCCTCTAAAAAGACTAGAGTTTAAAAAACATGTTCTCATAAATTTTGGAAACATGCCTGCTCTGCCCATTGTTTTTTTTTTTTTAACCCATCTTTCTATTTTTAAAGATTCTGTAACATTTAACAGATACAAAATAATATGTATAAGATAGAGGCATAATAATAAAATGAACACCACAAACCCATCACCCGGGCCTAAGAACAGGAATGTCACTGAGCTCACCAAGAATGTCACCAAGGTCACAAGAACAAGAGTATCCCTCCCTGAATCCATCCCCCTGCCTCATCTTTAATCCTGGGGTAACCAGTCTCCTAAATTTTCTCTGTATCAGCTCCTTGTTTTTTTATTTACAGTTTTGTAACGTGAAGTTTAATTTTGAATGATTTGAACTTCATAAAATATCATACTCTATGTTGGCTTTTCTGAGACTTTTTTTGATTTAGCATTTCTTCTAAGAGTCATCCTTACTTTTACATGTGGCTGACGGACATCCATTTTCACCATGGTATAATATTCCATCGGGTGATCTCATCATGATTTACTTATCCATTCCCCCAGGATGGACACATTTCAGTTGTCACTAGTTTTTGTCTATTCCAAGCAGTGCTGCTGCGAACATTCTTCCAGATGCCCCTTGGCACCATGGTGCGAGAGCGAGAGCGACCATAGAGCATGAACCTAGAAAAAAACTTGCTGCCCCTCCAAATTATTTGCTGAGTGGCCGTACCATTTTCCCTCCTAGCAGAGTTCCCTAGAGGGTTGATGGAGATGGGATGGTATTGCGGTGCTCATTTACAGTTACCTGCTTCCTAAGATGGGATTGTCATCTTGCCTTAAGTTTATTTGTCACTTACTTCTCCTCTGATAGGTAGTTGTTCGTGACTTTGGCCCATTTTATTGTTGGATGGCATGACTATATCTTACTGAATTTTTATTGTTCTCCAAAATTATTCCTTTATTGATTACATATATTCTAAAAACCAGTGCTCAGCTCGTGAATAAACTCTCTATTTTGGGATAATATAGATTTACAAAGTTGCCAAGATAGTATAGAGAATTACCATCTACTCTTCACTCAGTTTTCCCTAATGCTCACATCTTATATTACCAAGGGCATTTGTCACAACAAAGAAACCAACATTGGTATATGTTACTATTAATTTAAGCTCAAGACTTTCTGTGGATTCCACCAGTTTTTCCAGCAATGTCTTTTTGCTGTTTCAGGAGCCAGTCCCTGCAGGATACCACCATGCGTTTCATGTAAATTGCCTTAATTCCCTTTGTGTTGTCTTTTGGTGAATGGAGTTCTTAATTTTAATGTAGTTGCATTTTTCATTTATAATTAGTACCTTGGGGAACTTGTTTAAGAAGTTCTTCCTTGTGCCTCTGTCATGAGGATGCTTTCCTATATTTAGGTTTTCCCTTTCACATTACAGCCTTTCTTCCACGAGGACTGAACTTTGTGCGTGGTGTCAGATGGAGATCCAGTTTCATTTTTCACCTATAAAAATAGCTGCATAATGAGACCTTATATTGAATATGAAAGTCCTTCTGCTTTTTTCTTCTTCAAGAATTCTTTGTCTCTTCTTGGTTCTTTACCCTTACATAAAATTTTAGATTCAGCTTGCTAAATTCCTTGAATAAGCCTGCTGGGATTTGGATTGCAATTGCATTGAGATTATTCAGAGAGAATTGACATCCTCACAATATTGCATTTACAATGTCAATATCTGCTATCCATGAACTTCATGTTTTCTACATTGATTTTGGTCTTTTAAAATACATCTCAAGTCTTCCCTTTTGTGACCACTGTTAAAGCACCAGCAGCCAAAATGAAGTTCAATTCCTTTGTGACTTCTGACCGGAATAAGAACCAAAAAGGGCATTTCAATACCAATTTCCACATTTGCAGCAAGAGGATGTCTCCTCTCTGCCCAAAGAGTGGAGGCAGAAGTAGTGTTCAGTCCGTGCCCATCTAAAAGGATGATGACATTCAGGTTTGGCAAGACACCACGAAGGTCAGCAAATTGGTAACATAGTCTGGGTTTACAAGAGCTCCGTCTTCTACACTGAACAGGTGCAGCAGGAGAAGACTAATGGCACGACTTTCCATGTGGCATTCATCCTCGCAAGGTTGTTAACACTAGACCAAAACTGGACAAAACCCCCCAAAGATCCCTGAACGTAAAGTCAAATCTTGTCAAGAGGAAATGAAAAGAGCGAATATAAGCAAGAAACAATTGAGAAGATGCAGGGATAAAGTAATCCTAAACTTTGATTAAAAATTGCTACAATAAGGGGCGCCTGGTGACTCAGTTGGTTAAGTGTTCAACTCTTGGTTTCGGCTCAGGTCATGATTGCGGGGTCGTGAGATAGAGCCCCAAGACCGGCTCCCTGCTCAGAGGGGAGTCTTCTTCCCCTCTCCCTCTTTGTCTGCCCCTCCCCCCGCTTGCACATACTCTCTCTCTATATATAAAATAAATAAATCTTTAAAAAGTCGCTAAAATGAATAAATAAAATAAATGTCTTGGGCGCCTGGGTGGCTCAGTTGGTTAAGCGACTGCCTTCGGCTCAGGTCATGATCCTGGAGTCTCTGGATTGAGTCCCGCATCGGGCTCCCTGCTTGGTGGGGAGCCTGCTTCTCCCTCTGACCCTCCCCCCTCTCATGTGCTCTCTGTCTCTCTCATTCTCTCTGTCTCAAATAAATAAATAAAATCTTTAAAAAAAAATAAATATATGTCTCAATGCCTTTAAAGTTTTTCTCTAAAAAGAAAAAATTTATTTTTGTTAATTTATTCCTACATATTTGATGCTTTTGCTGATATTGTAAATAATATACTTTTATATTTTCTAAGTTTATTGCTAATGCATGGAAATCCAATTGGTTTTTTAATTTTTTAAATTGAGAAAATTCACGAATCATAGAAGTTGTCTTTTTAAAGCATACAGTCTAGTGTGTTCACAAAGTTGTGCAACCATCACCACTATTTAATTCCAGAACATTTTCGTCTCCCCAGAAAGAGCCCTTGTATCAATTAACAATCAATCCCCAATTCTCCTTCCCCAGATAACAACTAAGTTACTTTTTATCTCTATAGATTTGCCTATCCTGGACACTTTGTATAAATAGAATCATACAATATGCAATCTCATATGACTGGTTCCTTGCACTTAACATTGTATTTTTAAGATTCACCTCCATTTAGCATGTATTAATACATCATTCCTTTTTACAGCTGAATAATATTCCATTGTATGGATGTCCCATACTTTGTTTATCCATTCATCAGCTGATGGGCATGTAGACGGTTTCCTCTTTGGCTATTACGAATAATGCTGCTCTGAATCTTCATGTAAAGATTTTTGGGTGGACACGTGTGTTCAATTCTTCTGGATGAATACTTAGGAATGAAATTGTCGGGTCATATGGTAACTCCATGTTTAACTTTTAGAGGAACTGTCAAACTGCTTTTCAAAAGAGCGGCACCATTTTGCATTCCCACAAGCAATATATGAGGGTTCCAGTTTCTCCCATCCTTGCCAACATTTGTTATTGTCTGTCTTTTTTATTATAGCCACTCTAGTGGGAGTGAAGTGCTATCGCTGTAGTTTTGATCCACATTACCCTAACGACTCATGATGTTGAGCACCTTTTCACGTGTTTATTAGCCATTTGTATATCCTTTTCAGAAAAATGTGTATTCATATCCTTTGCCCATTTTTAAATTGGGTTATGTGTCTTTTTATTGTTGAGTTGTAAGAGTCTTTTATATATTCTGGATATAAGTCCCTTATCAGATGTACTATTTGCAAATATCTGTCCTCTATTCTGTGGGTTGTCTTTTTACTTTTTTGATAGTGAAGCACAGTTTTTTATCTGTGATGTAGTTCAATTTACCTGTTTCTTTTCTTTTGTCACCGGCGCTTTTTAATGGTGATAGACCAGACACATCTCCCTTAAAATCAGGAACAAGACAAGGGTGTGTGTTTGATTTAAGGGCCTCCTCTCTCACTGAGTCAATCAATCATATTGCTCCATCTCCATTGACCGTAGTGATCGCTTCAAGAAAGGACATGTGACCCAAGACAGGTCCACCAGTGTTCTTCAGTGGGATCCATCCAACTGAACCTGGGGCAGAATAACCCATTCTCTCCCCTTTGATTGGAAAAATAAGAAAATTCCCCCAGAAATAACAACCTCAGTTCCCCCCACAGAGTGAAGAAGCCTATTTGCAGGAACGGCAAAATACACTGCCGCTTCTCTCTTCCCTGACCTCCCGAAAATTCAGTTTTCATGTTGGGAAAATTGGAATAATTCCTACCTCATGGGTTGCTACAAATATTAAATAAAATAACAATTACAAAATGTTTTAGCACAAAGACTAACTACTCACTGTCAATTTTGTTATTATTAATGTTATAAATAAGATTATTCCACACTTGCGGCTTGGCGTCCTCCTTTCTCTCCCCTGGTATTGTCTCCCCTTCCCCCACAGCGACCCCCCCTCCCCCCGCCGTGGAGATTGTAGAAGGATTGATTTCCCCCTTAACTTGCCAACTTAAGAAAGGAGCAATTATTATCCCCTTTACTGCATATCAGGAGATGTACAATGTGCACAATTCCACATTTGTCAATGACTTTGAGCACTACAGTTTTGGGGGCATAGCGTATGTTTCCTTTGTACTGATAATTCCCATCTGCTAAGGATGTGTTTCCAGAATGCCAACTCCAGCTTGTATGTTTTTAAAATATTCTTTTTTTTTTTTTAAAGATTTTTTTTTATTTATTTATTTGAGACAGAGAGAATGAGAGACAGAGAGCATGAGAGGGAGGAGGGTCAGAGGGAGAAGCAGACTCCCTGCCGAGCAGGGAGCCCGATGCGGGACTCGATCCAGGGACTCCAGGATCATGACCTGAGCCGAAGGCAGTCGCTCAACCAACTGAGCCACCCAGGCGCCCCTAAAATATTCTTTTTAAAATTGTGATAAAAATATACACAAAATTTACCATCTTGGCCATTTTTAAGTGCAACATTTCCACTGGCAATAAATACATTCACACAGTTCTGCAACCATCACCACCATCCAGAACTTCTCATCTTACCAAACTGAAACTCTGTCCCCATTAAGCAATACCTCCCTGGGCCCCCCTCCACCCCCAGCCCCTGGCCACCACCATTCTGCTTTTTGTCTCTATGAATCTGACTACTGTAGGTACCTCATGTAAGTGGAATCATATGATATTTCTTTTTGGGTGATTGGCTTATTTCATTTAGTATGATGTCCTCACGGTTCATCCATGTTATAGAACATGTCAGAACTTTGCTGCTTTTTAAGCCTGAATAACGTTCCATTGTATGGATAGACCACACTTTGCTTGTCCATTCATCTGTGGACACTTGGGTTGCTTTCACCTCTTGGGCTATTCTGAGTAAGACTGCTATGAACGTGGGTCCACAAATAACTCTTTGTGACTCTGCTTTCAATTCTTTTGAGCATATACCCAGTGGCTCATATGATTTTTAAGAAAGAAAGAAGCTCTGGAGTTTCCGCACAAGTCCTCGCTAGTATTATTACCCCATGTCATCATCACCGGCGAAGACTCTGTGGCTCCGGGAAGATGGTTGCTTGCCCAAGGTGTCCCATACAGGTTGTGAAAGAAGATGTATCTGCAGCATGGCCCATCGGCCCCAACACCCATGATAAAGATCAAAAAGCTCCTGCAGTTCCTTATAGATAGAGCTCAAAAATGAAATAAAATGTTCACAACAATTATATTAAAAATCCACCTGGACAAATAAATTGGCCAGAGTATTGCATTGAGGGAGAAAAATAAAGCAGCTCAGGAGAACTCACTTCCCAGATAATTATAAAATATATTATCAAATGACAATAAGGCTGTATGACATTGGCTTAAGAACAGGAAAAAACAGCCAATAAAATAAAATAAAGCATAGATTCCAGGTATATGCCTAAACTTCATGAAGTCCCAGGATTAACCTGGAATAAGTAAAAAAATGAGAAAGGGGTGCCTGGGCGGTTCAGTGGGTTGTCTGCCTTCAGCTCAGGTCATGGTCCCAGGGTCCTGGGATCAAGCCCCACATAGGGCTCCCTGCTCTGCGGGGAATCTGCTTCTCCTTCTCCCTCTGCCCCTCCCCACCCCCCATGCTCTATCTCCCTCTCTCTCCTTCTCTCTCTCTCTCTCTCTCTCTCTCAAATAAATAAAAATTTTTAAAAATCTTAAAAAAATAAAAGATTGGAAAGGAAGTAACTTTTAATAAATGTCATTGACGAAACTGAGTGACAATAATACCTAATACATAATGAGTATTAGCTCTGTGCCAGGGGTTATTCTAAGTGCAAGACCTTATTTAACAACTTCACGAGGCATGTCCTATTATCATCCCAATTGCATGGATGACGAAACTGAGTTACCAAGAGCCTGTATAAACTTGTCCAAAGCCACAGAGCAACTTAAGCGGCAGAACCAGGTCAAGCACCCAGTCTCAGGTCCGCCCTCCCGACACCCTGCTACTTCTCCTCTCACATTATAAAGCCAGGGCTTTAAGCTAATTGCTCAAATAGTTATGCTTTAAAAGCCCTGAAAGGAAAAGAAAAGAAAACTCTAACAAATATGTAAATATCTATCTCAAATGCAGAAGGAATTGACACTAAAAAGAAAAATACTGTGACAAATGGATTTTTAAATATCAATATAAAAACACAATTTTGCTACAAAGAAAAAAATCTGAAATTTGATAAAAGATCATGAAAAAGCAGTGTTCCATCACCAGAATGGCTGAAATCAGAAGACTGACAATATCAAGTGTAGGTGAGGATAGGGAGTCACTGGAAACTCCCACACATTGTTCAGGGAGAGTGTAAATCCACTCAGTCTCTTGGAAAACTGCGAACTACTAAAGCTACACATGCATGTAGCATATGACCAAGCACAAAATGAGTGCATAGATCCCTCATAAGATGTGTGCAAGACACAGCATGTTTATTTGCAGTGGCCAAGAATATTTTTAACAGCTTTAATCACAATAACCAAAAACTGGAAACAACCCAAGTGTCCATCAACAAGGGAATGGTTCAATGAACCATGATATATTCATACGATGAGATCCTACTCAGTGAGAGAAAGGAAGGAATCGTTGACATAAGCAGCACCATGGATGAATCTCCAGATACTTGGTTGAGTGAAAGGAGTAAAACTCTGAAAAGTAAGTACCTGGTGATTGCATTTATATGACATGTAAGAACAGGCAAAGCAATTGAGGGTTAAAAAAAAAATCTAAGGAGTCACTCTGGGGAGTGGGCATTTGACTGGTAAGACACCCAAAGGAACTTTTTAGGGTACTGGAAATGTTCTGTCTTGCTCTGGATTATGGTTACACAAGTATAAACTTACATTTCACTGAGCTGTGCAATTTATGTAAGGCTTATAGCTCTGTAAAAAGTAAAACCAGTAAACCAACAAAAATGTTAAGCTAAATATGAGTGACAGATTTCTTTCATTCATTCAACAAACATTTGTAATGTACCACTTGTGTGCTGGTTGCTGAGGACACCTCACTGACTGAATAGGACACCATCTAGGAACTCAAATCCTGCAGGGAACATAGATAAGCATGTAAATACAGAACCTCATAAAGCACGATGGAGTCGGGAACAGGTGTTATGGTGCACATAGGTTGCACAGGATGCTAACTCTGTTTGGGGAAACTGGGGGAATTT